TTAAAAAATAAAATTTAATTTTATTAATGATAAAGATTGCAATGTATGTATTTTGTTTTTTAAAAAAAGATTTGTTAACCTATAAAATAATGCTTTGTATTTGTTTATTTGTTTTATCAAAAATATAAAAATGATTGATAAAAAAAGTAAATGAAATAATAAAATATAATTCTACCTGGTGGTTGAGAAACTCTAACATTTTTTTTACCATCAGCAGTTATATCACTCGATTATTAATTATATTAATTATATGCTTATTATTATGGTTGCTGCTAAAGCTACTATCCTCTAACATTAGATGCTGCCTACTAATAATTTTATTATTATTATTATTCCTTCTCTTATTAATAATATAAACTATTGATAAATGGATTAGAATTTTTTTGTTTATTATTTCCATTTTGGGCTGGATAACCTTCGAATATGTTAATTGACTGTTTATGTTAGTTCTAATAGCTAGACTATTGCTAGTTGTTTCCATTATATTTACTATTGTTATCATCGAAATTGGAATGGTTAATTATATTATATGACTATTCGTTAGGGTGATGCTTCTTTTGACTTGATATTTAACTGTTGTTATCACTATTTGTTCTTAATTAGTTATTAGAGTTGTAAATGACTTCTTCTTACTAAACTCTTTATCCTATTTTGTTGTTGTTTGGAGAATAATAATTTTTACCATTTTTATTTGACTTATAATCTGCATTTTCTTTGTCTTTGAAAAAGTTGTAGTCACCTCCAATATTTATCTAGCTCTATCCACCAGGATTTTATTGAACCTTATTTAGTTTTATATTAATTAAATGGATAAATTTATAATTAAAATATTACTTTAAATGTTGTTTTTTGCTCATTTGAATTCCAATAATCGTTCATATCTTTACCTTTAACTCTTTAACCAAATACCATATTTTTTAAGTCAGGTTATTATGGTTAAAGCTGCTATTATTTTTATTATTATTGTTATTACCCTAATTATTCAGTCTTCTTTTATATATCATCTAGTTCAGCAATTGAGAGCTCTTAACTTTTGATATCATTTTTTAACTAAGCTAGTTCACGTTCAAGTGCTTCGATTTCACTCTCCACGGGTTCATCTTTTACATTGCCTTTGTTATAATTGTTAATTATATTTGCAATATTTTCATCACCATTGCTGCCATTAACTCTTTCAACATCATAAACTTCAAATCCATAGTTTTAACCACCATCATTTCCCTAGTAAGCTCCTTGATCATTTTCGGACTTTATTCTTTGTAATTTTTCTCCTTTTTTTCCTTTTTTTATGGTGTATTGACTTTTGATATCTTTAAGCTTTTATAAGCGATCTGCATTATTTTTTGATCTGTTTCTCATTTATTCATACTTGTCTTCATTTTGCTTTGCTTCTTTTTGTTAGTTTTACATTTAAGCATTCTATCTAACATTTGATTTGTTTCCTTTTCTATCAATAGGAGGCAATTATACTCCAGGTTATTTGGGTCTACCTTATAGATTATCCGATTTACCTTAATGCATTTTTATTAAAATTTTTTATCTCCTATATAATCAATCAAAAATGTCTTTGATAAACTTTTCCTTTCTAAAATAATTAATTAATTTTTAATTTTTTAATTATTTGAGTATAAAAGCAAAAAATTTTAAATCCTATTAACTTTTTTAAATTATAAACAAATGATTGATTTTTATAAAATCTTGTTTCTTAACTTTTTTCTAAAAAAGGTTAACTAAATGAATATATAATTTTTACATTTTATCTATTTAGTTTTAAATGGACATATTTATCAACAGTACCTGTTTTTTTAGCATCACAATCACAATCATAATCACTAATCAAAATATATATTTAAAGTACAAAGTATATTTGAAAATTATGAAACTCCAGTTTTGAGATAGAAAAAGCATTTGATAATCTTTTAATCATATAAATTCATAAAATTATGTTATTTCGCAATATAAAATTATCTTTTCGAATAATTTTTTTGGAAAACACTTAATTGAAATTTGTTTCTTAAAAAAATGATCTAAATTATTTGTAGGGAGTTTATTTGAAAACTTTAAAATTCAAAAAAAAGTGTGCATATTTTATTAAGAAAAATATTTATTTTTAAATATCAAAAAGTAATTTGAATATTTATTTTTATATATTTTCCAACAAAGTTTGATTAAATTAATCAAATATTAATCATATAAGATAAATTATGGAAAATTTGTAATTATTATGGATTAATTTGACTAATGAAAAAAATAATAATCAGATCTTACAATTTTTGATTAATGAAAGTGCAAATAATTGTTAAATAAAAATGAAAATAAGGAACACTTATAAATGAATTAAAGGCTTAGAGTTTTTTAAAGAAATTTACTAGAAAGATGTTGATAATAAGAGAAAAATAAAATTGGTACACATGTCAAAAATATAATAAGATATTAGAAATTCATTCATAAATAAATTAATGAATGTATCTGATCATTTGATTAACTAGCAGTAGATATTTAAATTAAAATCTTTAACATGATTAATCGTCATTTATTGATAAAGATTAAAATTTTATTAAAATTAAAAATAAGGAATGAATAAAAAACTGATTATAGCCTTAGGTATTATAGTTGTAGTTGTTTTAGCTCATGGATCTTCGCATTCAACTTAACATTCTGAAAGCGAACATCCTTACTTTAAGCAACTCAAGAATTATATGCAAAAAAATGTTACAAGCAAATATGGATAAGTTGCTCTCAGCATTTTTATAGTATCATTCCCAAGTATCCCTGTTTTCTTATCACTATCCTTTCTGGGAAGAGTCCTTAAAAAAAAAGGAGATAAGAATAACTTCTCTTCATCTTTTTTGACTTTACTATTAGCATTCGCTTGTGGAACACTTTTAGGAGATGTTATGCTTCATATTTTGCCATATTTATTTTGTAAATAACTACATTTTAAAAAATGTATTATGAATTAAAAATTTTAATTATTTTAATTAATAATAATATAGCTTAATCTCATAGCCACAGTCATGATCATCACCATGTTGAACACTCTCATAGTCATCTTATTGATAATCATGTACATCATCATGATCATCATTTAGAAGGAGTAAATTAAAAACCCTCTGGATGCCCATTCGCTAATCTATTTGGAAGTGGATAAGCTAATGCTAAGATTCCTTAAGATGCTGCACACGCTCATTTACATGCCCATGACCATTCTCTTCATTAAGAAAAGGACTTAACTCAAAACCAATAGCAATAAAATTAGTAAAATAATCATGATCACGATCATAATCATGAAGAAAAAAGCTCAAACACCTAAGCAGAAAATTAACACCCTCATGACCATGAACACGAACATGACCATGGACACGATCATGAACATGCTCATGACCACGATCACAACCATGGTCATTCATAAGGAGGTCATAAATGTAATGATCCTAATCATCACCATCATGATCATGATCACGAAACTCCTCATTAAGAAGTACATATCTAATCATAAGTACTCAAAGAAGGAGGCCAGTAAATTCTCAATAATTAACATGACCATAGTCATGACCATGAGCATGATCATGGTCACGGACACTCTCATTCAGTAGAAGAAATGAAAGTTCCATTGATGATAGTAGGAGGAATCATAATTTTCATAATTTTAGATTATATTTTTATGAAAATTCACAACACTTCATCTAATAAGGATAAAAAAGTTGAATAGGTAGAAGAAATAAAGAAGAACAAAAAATTAGGTGAAAAGAGCAAAAATGAAGATTGTGATGAAGATTCTGATGGACATGATCATTCTCATCATCACCATCATAGCCATGGAGATGGAGATGAGCATTCAGCTGTTCCATTTTTGATTGGAGATTTCTTACACAATTTTACTGATGGACTTGCTATCGGAGCTGCTTATACAGTTAGTAATGAAATATAAAGTTTAGAAATAAGCATACTTTAAAAAAAATTTTTTCTTCATATTAACTAAAAGTAAAATTAATTGTTAATAAAAGGTTTTTAGATGGGTATTACTAGCACATTTGTGATTATGATTCATGAATTACCTCATGAAATTGGCGATTTTGCTCATCTTATCAAGAAAAATTACAGTTTAACAAAGATACTTTAAACTTAATTCTTAACTAGCCTTGGAGCTTTAATTGGTGGATTTATTGGTAAATAGTTTATTTATAATATTTTGTTGTTAAAACTTTTTCTTTAAAAAAGGTCTCTTCACTGGCGAAATATACAAAAAAGAATTATTGAGTTTAACTGCAGGAGGCTTTTTATATATGTGCTGCTCCTAAGTAATTCCTGAAATATAAGCTGACTTAAGAAAAGATCACAGTTTTAAGAATTTAATATCTATAATCATTTCTATATCTATTGGTATTGCTTTAATGGTATACGTTGCCATGCTAGAATGAGTACATTTACTATTTATTTACTTGATTGACCAAAAATGAATATCTAATAATCTTTAAGCTAATTATAGAACTAACATTTTTCAAGTAAAAGTAAATGGATATTGATTATATGATTTATTTTAAATACTCGTAAATAATCTTAAATGTATTTATTTTTTGAACGTCTAAGTTCATTTATTTGTGAATTCAAATCTAATTTCAAATATTCTAAATTTTCTGCTTACAATTATATATAAATATATAATTAATAGTACTTTATCATTCATCTTTACTAACTTTATTTTATTATTATATTTTTAAAAATATTCATATTTTATATTTATTCTTAAAGGAATTTTAACATTTTTTACCAATCTATGAAATTATTTATTAAGCAAATGGTATTTTGAGATATATATTCAGTTTGCTTTGAATTGAGTTACTTAGATTTAGTTTAAAGTTATTTTTACAATTTGTAAAACTAAGATTATTTTTTCAATTTACAGTATCCTTCTTAACAGCTGTTCATCACTAATTTTCGACAATTTAAATAAAATTAATTTTTTATTATTGGAGATAAAACCAGATTGATGGCTGTTGATGCAACCAGAAGATAAATTTATAAAAATGCTTATAATTTATTTTAGAATGGAATTTAGTATTAAAATTCTATTTAGAGAATTCATTCGAGTTTAGTACTTTAAAAATATTTTTTTAAATATGTGTTAAAAACATATTTATTTACCATTAATAATTCAGGTATTTAATAATAATAAATTGCATTATATCCTCATCCACCAAAACAATTTTAAAATTTGATTAATCTGATTTTATAAATATTAAAAATAAATTGTAAATTAAAAATTAATATAATATGAGTAAATCTTAACTTAAAATGATATATTTTGTTATCTTTTTATAAATTAATATTGTGCTATTTACTAAAAGTTTGGATTGAATTATTTTGAAACACTAAAAATATGCCATTTATTAAAACCGTATTTAATAATTATAATTTTAAAGTAATGTAAATTATTTATTATTTTATTGCTAAAAGTCAAGATAAAAAAATAATTCACAAAAAATTAAAAAAGGTAAGACTTATTTTTATTATTAGCTTTTTATGTTTAGATTAAAAATTATATACTTATGACGAGATATTAAGACTAATTAAAAGATTGCCAGTAAACATTTTAAATTATATATCTACGAGCATAGCTTTAAAGTAGATAAGCTAAAATTCTAACTTGTTCAATTTATTTGTTTTTTTATTTAGTATAATAATATATGCTAATTGTATTATGAAAAAAATTAAAAATACATGATAAGATACTCACTGAACTATAATTTTTATAGAAAAATACAAAAATTTAGATTTAAAAAAAATACAGATAAAATTAATTGATAATAATAATTAAATTAAAATATTTTATCTTCAAGGTATTTTGAATTTATGAAAAATAGGAAATAAATTTAATAATATGTTGGTTTAGATTATATAAAAATTTCTCTTTTAATGATATTTAATGAAATGAAATGAAGGATGCTTGTTGTGAATAAAGTAGATGTTAGTATTTTTGAAATCTATTTTCTTGAATGATTAGATGATATTAAGAAAGAATTAAACAATTAGGCTAAAGAATAAACCAAAAATTAAATAAAGCTCTAGTAAGTAGTTATTTTCTTAAGGTGATGAGCTTCTTTCTAATGGCTTTTGCTTGCTTGTTTGTTTGTTAATAGTTTTGCATTTAAAAGAAGAAAAAGATGATATTATGATGAAAAACATAGAAGAAATAAATAATATTAATAAGGATTAATCAAGTTTGAAGCAATTAAATAAATTAATTAATAATTAAGTGTAGTTTTTAATAAGACTGAAAGAATAAGCAAAAGTGTTTGTAAATATAAATAAAAAATGAAATAATTAATCAAAAGAGGATTGGCAATTTTTAAGCAATCAAGCATCAAGCAATAGTCCAAACAAAATTTTAAGAAAACAATCAAACAAGCTAGAGAAGAAATAAAGGAATTAGTAAATTTATTAATAATTAATTAATATTAAAGGAGTTTAATAATTAAATAGAAAACAAAATAATTATAAGATAATCAAAAGTAAGAAAAAAGAAGAAAAAACATGAGTAATTAAGATAAATAGTAATAATAATAGTAATAGTAGCCACAAGGAGCTTAGAGGGCTGCTAGCGATACCGAACCTCTTATAATTGAAGAGAGAGTGCAGATAGTCAATGGAGAGCAAATCATAAAGAGATATCAAAGAGGAAGTCTTCTAGGAAAGGGTGGTTTTGCAAAATGTTTTTAGGTTACCAATTTAGAAAACAAGAAAGTAATGGCAGCAAAGATTATCCCAAAAAGCACTTTAGTTAAGAACCGTGCTCGTCAAAAATTGATATCAGAAATTAAAATTCACAAGAGTTTGCATCATAATAACATTGTAAAGTTCGAGCATGTCTTTGAAGATCATGATAATGTTTATATTCTGCTTGAATTATGCCCTCATTAAACCCTAAACGAGCTTATCAAGCGTCGTAAACGTATTACAGAATTAGAAACTCTTTGCTATACAGTTTAAATAGTTCAAGCTCTTAAATACCTCCATTAAAATCGTGTTATCCATAGAGATCTTAAATTAGGTAATCTTTTTGTAGGAGAAAAGATGGAAATAAAGCTTGGTGATTTCGGTTTGGCAACTAAACTTGAGTTTGATGGTGAAAAAAAACGTACAATTTGTGGTACCCCTAATTATATAGCTCCTGAAATTTTAGATGGAAGAGTTGGTCATTCATATGAAGTAGATATATGGTCTTTGGGTGTTATCCTTTATACTTTATTGATAGGAAAAGTAAATAAATTCTTTTTATAAATAGCTAGCTTATAATAAAATGTGCTTTTTCAAGCAACCATTTTTAAAAATTAACATATTTACACTACTTAACTATCCCAAACATTTTGCCTTCATTATATATAGTCTTTCAAAATAAACAAAGGAAAATAAAATTAAAAAATAAATCAATTTTTTACTCGACTTTATATAAAAAATGAACTTCTTTTTTGAATTCAGTAAAATAATTTTAGTAAATCTAAAGAAAAAAATCATAGTTTTCTGATAGAATAATTGTATTCAATTGAGTTTTAGAAGGAGTAGAAAATAATATTCTAGATTAGCTTGGCCATATTTTAACAAAAGAATTATTCTCATCACATTAAGCTTTGATAGCAAAAAGTAAAGTGACAGACAGTCAGAAAGAAAAACAGACGAATCAAACAAATTAAATCCAAAAAGCAAAGTGCAGAGCGTTAAATTTAAATAAAATAAAAAATTATGAACTGATGAAATTATTAAGACTCTTTAAAGTTTTTGTTAAGTCAAGTATTTAAGCCTTGAATAAGAGTCCTTCCAATCTACTAATTTTGAATAAATTTTAAAAGTTAAAAGCAAAATTAAGAAGTTACAACATGTTTTTAAGAAAAAAAATTAGTTTACGCTTTTAACATGTTATTTTCTAGCTCTGATTTTTAATTGATTCATGCGGGTCTCAAAAAGATAATAAAATCAAATCAAGGCTAATTGAATCGCCTAATAATATATTCATAAAACAATACTTTGGATAGCTATTTTTCAAGCAAATTTTTTTTGATTTGCTAATATCTTATTACATTTTAAATCCCCTGATCCAAAATTTTTATTTTTACTGTATTTTTGAACAGCAATATGAATTAGATTTTTTAATGAATTTATGAATGAAAGATACCTCGTTAAACATATACAATATTTTCAAATATGTCAATCTATGTCAAAAATAAATAGCAGCCAAAATACTGATGAATATTTAGATGAAAAAAGTAGATAGAAGCTAATATAAAATATCTTCTATTTAATTTGTTGACTTTCATTCAATCAAATTTATAGGATTAGTTTTAGCATAGGTGAATAAAAGCAATATCTCTATACAAAGAGCAAAAAAAAGGAATAAATAGCTCATAGGAATTTAAAACATAGAATATATTTATGTAGAAAAATAAATTCAATCTTTCATAGATGAATAAAATTCATAAGAATTTAGTGAAGACGAATATCAAAAATTGTTCATCTTTTAAAATACAAATAATTTTCACATTAGATTGATATATTAGATAAATAAAACAAAAGAACTCAAGCGATAATATTTATTCTTTTGATTTTGAGTTTCTTTAATTAAAAGTTTTACCAAGCATTTATAAATAAGCATCATCATTATGCTTTTTAAATAATGCGCAATACAAAATATTTTTTTATAAACAATTAATTATATACAAAAAGTTTTTGAAAAATGGTATGCAATACATATCATATAAGAGTAAATGAGCACTCTTTACTACACTTTCTGCTTTCCCCTCTACTATTTCTTAATTTTTTAGGCCAAATACATAATTAAATTTGAATACTCAGAGTGGAGAATTTGATTTTATTTTGATCATAAAATTCAAAATAAAGAAGCTTTTATTTATCTCTTTTACAGATTGATTAATTGGTTGTTATTCTAATAGTTGCTGAATAAAAATTCTTTGCAAATTTAAATATTTTTTAAAACTCAAAATTTCTTTTTTATTTTTGTTTCCCCATTGATAAATTGATTATTAATAATTTAATAGCAAAATTTAGTCATAATAAAAATAATAATAATTTAATTATTAGCAGGAAATTAAACAAGAAGTTCATATAATATCATCTATTTCAAAATTTGATTTATTTTGTGGTTTTTGGGGTAGTTAATCATAAGATATAATTAATTGAAAAATATAAGCTAAATTTTTCATTAATTTTACTGATATTTTATATTTTAAAAATAGCCACCATTCGAAACTCACGATGTTAAAACAACTTATAGAAAAATTAAATCTAATTAATACTCCTTCCCAGATCATGCTCCTATTCCTGACTCTGCCAAAGCTCTAATTTAGCTCATTTTGCAACAAGATCCTGCTAAAAGACCAACTTTAGACGAAATCCTTGCTCATCCCTTCATTAATAACGGCGGTACTATTCCTAGATTACTTCCTGTTTCTACTTTAACAACAGCTCCTAATACCAGCTACATTAAGCAATATGCTCCTTCAGCCAGTAACATTAAAGCTAACTAGTAATCCATGCAAATAGGAACAGAAGTATTTGGCTCTAGTAGAAAAGAAATGACAAAGAGTCAAACAACTACTAACATGAATAAAGCACTCTTTTAAAATGAAAATGGTAACAAAGTATTAGATGGATAAAAAAATTAAGCCACTAGTAATCCTTCTAACCAATTCATGAGCACTGCGAACCTTCAATAGAACAGCAAAAATCTCAACAGCAACTTCAATCAAAATGATTTCAACCAGTAATTTTATTATTTCTTTTCCTCTTCCATTCGATTTACCATATTCAATCACAAAAAATATTTAACTTATTCCTTGAGCTAATCTAATTTACCTATTTTAAATAAATAAATAAAGAACTGATTAGAGACCAACAACCTCTAAAGTCTAAACAGGAACACAATAAGGATTGTATAATAAGCAACAAACAGGCACTCAAGATCCAAATAATAAATAATAGCAAGGAAACAAATACCAAAGCGTTTAAAATTTAATGAGTATGAATAAAACTGATGGGTTCTAAAATCCTTAAAACTAATAGCAGCTTAATGGTGAAGAAAATAACTAAATTGATGGTAGCAAGAATAACCTATGGGTTGTATAATACGTTGATTATAGTTCTAAGTATGGTTTAGGTTATTTGCTTTCTAATCAATCTGCTGGTGTGGTATTTAATGACACCACTAAAATTATTTTGGATCCTAAAGCTGAATACTTCGAATATATTTATAAGAAAGATTAAGATGAAATCACTGAAAAGCATTCACTCACTGAATATCCTACAGACCTCTAAAAGAAAGTTACCCTTTTACAACACTTCCGTCATTACTTGATGACAGAAGTGAATAAAAAAGTTTGTGCTGAAAACGGCTCTACTTAAGCCACCTTATACAATGATTCAAAATTCTAAATGCAACCTAATCAGCCTCTTCCTTACCTCAAAAAGTGGATGTAAACTAGACATGCAATTATGTTCCGTCTATCAAATAAAATAGTTCAAGTATAATTCTCTGATAAGACTGAAATTCTCTTAAACAGTACTGATAAGATAGTTTCATTCATGAACAAAAAAGGAGAACGTTTCCACTATCCTTTAGCTGATGCCATGAACTCTACAAACTAAGACATGACTAAGCGTTTAAGATACACCAAAGAAATCCTTACTCACTTGTTAAAAAATAACCAAAGATAAAACACTAATGATGAACAAGGAAATAATGCTGCAAACAGCGTAGCACCACCTGATGATATGCCTCAAAATGAACCAAATTACAACAAATACGGAATGACCGCTACTATGGAGAATGAGTAATTCCCTAAACTTAACGAATAAAAATTGAAAGGAATGACATCACAAAAGAGTCTTACAGAAAAAGATTAATTAATCTATAATATGACTGGTTTTAATAATGGAAGTAAAACTCCCTCACAATAAAAAAATCCCTCTGTAACAGCTTATCCCAACGCATAGCAACAGCCAGCATAACTTGCTGATAAAAACTAAAAAAAGTGATGAGATTTGATTCTATTAAGTAAATAAAAGAATAAACAATCAAAAATTAATGAATGAATGACTAAACAAATTAACTAAGACATAACTAGCAAATGATTTTGATGATCTTATTATTAATATAAATAATAAATTCATAAATAAAATTAACTTTCTATACACAAAATTACCATTATTTTATTATATATCATATTAATTTCTATATAAATTCAAATACTATGTTTTCCACCCTATTTTCTGTAACTTAAACACTAGTATTAAGCATATCAATCATTAAATTATATGTTTCTCTTTATAATACAATTTATACAAATTTATTACTTTTAGATAAAATAAATATATTGTTGTTTAATTTTATATCCTATTCAATTTTGCACATCAAAAATCATATTTATTATAACGATAATTATTAAATCAAATATTCAAATAAGAAGTCTTCTTATTTTTTGATGATGAATATTCAACATACTAATATCTTTCAAACTATTTTATCAAAAATCTAATTTTCATTTAATCTTTAGCTTATTATTAAATGTAAATAGATAATTTTTTTACGTTTTTATGAAAAGTTAGCTGTAATATTTAAACAAAAAAATTATACAATTAATCACAAATATTTTATGAAGGTTTTCATTTTAAAATTTGATATATTTTTTAATAAAAATTTTTAATTATTCTAAAAGACAATTTAATTATGTTTGTTAAAAAATTTAATTTAAACCTCCATTTTATATTTTATTATTTAAAAAATTATATCTAAATTAATTGATTAATCAAGGATTAAAATTTAAGTTTGTTTATTAAATAGATTTTAATTTTAATTAAAAATCCTTTTACTTGTAATAAATATTTTGATAATTTATTGATTTAATTTAGAAATATTTTAATTGAATAATTAATTATAAAAAGATTGCATAATTTAAACATACAAAATTAAAATAACAATAATTATATATTCACATATAAATTTTGAGAATTATAATGATGATTATTTTAAAAGAGATATGAATAAATACCAAAATAATCTGTTGACAAAATAAGAAAAAACAGATAAGGTTAAATATTTTTTTAATTTGATAAATTAAGATTTTATTAATATTAGATAAATGAAAAGATAATAAAACTATCATTTTCTTTTCTCTTTTTTATCTTTTGCCAAATCATCTACACCTTCAATTAAGCTACTCAATTCCTTTAAAAGATTTTTTTGCTTTTTAAATTTAATTTTTTTGAGTTTAAATATGATTTTTAATAGTTAAATTATTTTACTTTTTTCTGAATTTGAGAAAGTTAGCTTAAATCAACTTCTTCGTCATCAGAATCTCCATCTAATATTTCTCTGGCCATTTTGAAAGGCATCCTATGAAATAAGGTAAATCAAAATAAAATTAAAAATCCAAATTATGCTTACCATGAAGTGTCATTTTGCTTTAATAGGTCATCTACATAGCTTTCTATACCTGTATACTCATTCCTATCCTTCCATTCTAGATATGTGATAAAATGAATATAGTTCCACATATGATGATTAAATTTAATATGTTTTATGAATCCTTTTCCTGAATCTGACTTTCTATCAAAGGTAGTTCTTTTTTTAAATTGAATTGATTAATTTATGGTTTTTTTAGAAACAAATAATCAATAGCTATTCTTTATTTACCTATCTATTCCACAAATATAGCAAAAATTAAGCATATCTTCTTATTGTTCATTAGAGGTTTCTCTTAATACTCCAAAAGTATCAATAATAATACCAACGACGATGTTAATCATAATATTAAGAAGTACATATTAAAATAGTTAATCAAAAATAAATCTAGACATGCTATATTTTGTAGTATTGTTTGTAACATTAGCTTGTGCAGGATTGCTTGTTAAAAAGCCACCAACACCACCATTTGGCTACATATTCAAAAAATGTTTAGATACAAAATTTAAATTAAAAATAATTTAAATACCTTAAAGGTCTAATCGAATGTTGTCAAAAAGCAATATAAAAGAGATTCACATCTTTCATCATAATCTTCATAATACATTGAGTAACCCCATACAGAAAAGCAATATTCTAGTATGATAAAAAGCATGAAAGTAAGCAGGAGTTATTTTCTGGGCATGTAAATTGACATAATAACATTTTTCAAAGTTTGGAAGCGCATCAAAATAGCAGAAAGATGGAACGTAAAGAAGAAAGGGTTTATTACAGTACCTACTATAGCTAGAGCACCATAGGCTATATAATATATGACTTAGAAATCTTGTAAGAATTCATATATAATTTATAAAAATTTGAATAGAACAACATAAACTTTTCCTAGAAAATTTTTGTGATCCTTTACTTAAGCTCCTTATTTAATAATCTTTTTAATATAATTTAATATATAAAATAAATGTAAAAATGCTAAATTAAATACTCGCTAAAATATTAGAGGCACATTTTTAAATAAGAAGAAAAGCAAGACAAAATTGCTGCATACAATCATAACAATACCGAGGATTCGGAATATTCTCTTTGTCTGGTCAAGAGTATAATTAGGGCTATCGAATAAATTGTAGTCATCAATACGAATAGAAAAATCAGCATAAGTTGAAGTTGAAAATGAAAAAATAATGAAAAAGTTTAAGACCAAACTAATGTAAAAAGAAAGATCTTTCCATAGCTTAACATAGTTAGCAAACAATGCAAGGAATTTGTTTGATGAAAATAAAATTTAAAGATTATATTCATGTTTGCATATTTCGATTATATCATCTGACTCTTTAATTAATTCTGATTGCTATTATAATTTGTTAAATATATTCATATAACTAATATATTTAAATGATTAATTTACTTTAGTTTTTATGTTTGATCTATCGCATTTTTCATGGAATTCAGTCTTAACTTCTTTAGGTAAACAATTAGTTGCAGGGAGTCTAATAAAGTAAACTAATTCAAGCATTTCATTTCTAACTATGTCTATATGGGATGAGTTGCTAGCAAAAAAACTCATTGCTTTTTTAAGAATGCCCATTCTTGCAGCTTATTTAGCTTGACTTTTTTTATCATCGCTATCTGCTATTTTAATTTGATTCTTGACTGCTTCTACAGTCTTTTATTTGACAGCATCAGCATATTTATAAACTGATTCTATTAAAGATCTAGCAAAAGAAATTAATTGTCCAACCATGTTATCTCCAGTCAATAATGATTCAAGCTCATTTTTATCATTATTAAGAATCTTTTTCTCATAGTTTTTGTATATTTTAACCATTTCCCCACCAAGCTTTGAATCCGATTCAATCTATTTAATTTTAACAAATAATAAATTGGTTTTCTTAAAATTAAATAAATTTTCTTTAAAAAAATAAAAAAATTCTAATTACATAATAAGAAAGTAAGAAGTAAATCTAAAATCCATTTTAGAGTATACATTCTAAATAATCATCAATGTCTTTTCCTTCTTGATGCAATTTTTTAAAGAAATGAAGATCGCTTTCTTTACGAGGATCGTGTTCCATATGAGAAAGCGAAGAGCGATTTAGTTTGTTTTCGTAAAGAAGATTAAATTTTTTATATATTTTTATTAGATGTCTTTAAAGAACATAGAGAGGGAGATTTCTCATAATTCTTTTTATGATTTCACAATTACTCTTGACTTCTCTACTTTCTAAAAGACTCAAAACTAAAATTAAAACTTTGTTTTATAGTCTTCCTTTCATCCACTCAGTCAATGGCTAATCTTTTGACTTTCTATACTGTTCTATCAAATTCATTTTCTTCCATTCTTCAGGGTGATAGTCTTTTTTCTTTTTATCTCTTTTTTTTTATTTAGCTTCTTCTGATAAAGGCTTCTTCGAAAATAGATCACTTGCAATATCAAAGAATTTACTATCAGATACGGCATCCTAGTTTTCTTTACAGGGTCCTTATACAAATTCACTAAGAGTATCTAAACAGAATATCATATTATCATACATTTTCTTTTTAAACAAAAAAATTATTTAAATTAATATCAATTCAATAATTAGGCTAGTTGGCCTGTTTCTGTAATGCAAATTTCATTAATTACTGTATTATTTCAAATAATAAATTGATATTTTCAGTTTTTTTAAATATTTCTTGAATATTTCTATTTATCTATCAATATTAATTGAACTTTAAAGTTATCGTATTTCTTTGATGGTTTATGTAAAAAATTTTTCTATCTTTAATAAATTGAATACAGTAAATTTTGTAAATTCATTATTTTTATAATCAATAAATATTTTTCAATTTTTAGATTAAATAAAAATCTTTTAAAAAGTTATTTTTATTTTTATTTATTTTTGAAGTTTTTCTCAAATAAAAAATAGGCTAATTAAAAATAAGATTATAGTAGGTAGTATATAAATATTATTTTTTTAAAATAAATACCTAAGTGCAATCTCCATAGTAATAAGCTTTGAGCAAATCTGCAACAGCTTATACCATATCATAATTATTACGGGAATTGTCTTATTTTCTAAGATAATTCTATAGATCTATGTAATGGCCTTCAACACACAATTGTAAGAAACGTAAGACCCTTTCAAGTAATTCAATCATTTAAGAGTTTTCTTCTTCCATTTCGATAGCATCTCCTGTACCAATGTTTGATTTATGCTCAATATTTCTGATTTGTTTTCTTATGATTGAATTAAATCTACTGAAAATAACTTCTGATTTTTAGTAACTCATAAAGAAACTATAAATTGTATTTTATATTTAACTGTTGCCGCCTTCTAATAAAGTATTAGCGAATGATAGATAATGAATAATAAGTTCATTATCTAAATGACGATTATTTTGAGAGAGAACCATTAGAATCATTTTCATGGCACCAAGTTAATCAAACATATTTTATATTTTTTCTCTTTTTTAATTATCTTTTTCTTCATCGATTTCATCTTCTGACCTATCTTTTATTCCTTTAGAATCAATTATTTCCTTTAGAACCTTTTTTATTTATTTTTTACAAATATTTTCATATTATTTAAATAAATAACTTACTGAAATGAGAGAAATAATTGTTTCCTTGTTATTTGGATCTTCTGGGGCATACAAAAGGAATTTAATAAACTTTTTGATTAACTTAAACATATCAGGTTTTAAAGTTAAATCTTTTCCATATTCTTTTTTTATTATTTTCTTGACTCTTACAATAGCTTCTGCAAGTGCAATCTTCTCCTTTTAAACTTATTCAATTACAAATTCTTCTTCTTTTAGGATTACCTTAAAAATCTACCAGTTTCTTTCGGCTTTTTTCAAAAAAAATTAATTAAATTTACTATCTAAAAACCCTTTAACTTAAAGTAATTAAATAAATTTCAATTACAAACAAAATTTTTATTTAATAATAGTTTATGGCTTAATTTTAAAAGTATCTTATTACTAAATTTAATAAAAATTTTACCTAGTTAAGATTATTGTGATTAACTTTCTACTACCAATTAAGATGTTAGAGAAATTGCTCCAAGCTTAGATTTAATTTTCTATTTTAAAAATAAATTAAGAACATAAAATTAATTTATAATTAATTACTTTTTTTAGATTTAATGTGTTTCCTTTAAGCAGTTTAGTCTCATCATCATTGTTATCGCTAGCTGCATCATTTCTTTCTGGAATATCGGCTTATTCCTCAATATTTATATTACTAGGACCTTTAGATGGAAGCAAATCTTTAAAAAGATTCACTTTGTCTCCTTTTGTAGGACTTTTAATATGAGAAGAGCTAATTAATTATCAAAATGAGTTAAAAATATTTTTTTTAATTTTTAATTTACATTTTAGAGCTCAAATTTATCTACAGTAATGGCTCAAATTTAACTTTTGTATTTAAACCTTTAATTGCTTTTATTATTAGGGTTGTTCTCTCTTTTTGGTTCTATTTAGATTTTATTTTATAAATAAATTTAAACAAATTATGTTAATTTGATTCTTACATTTGATAAATAAGGAGTGAATACAGGTAATTTAGATAAAATTTTATCAACAACAAACTCTAAAGACTTTTCGTCTTTTCTTTCTTCATCTTCTTGAATGTGCATATTGTGAGGTCCTCTTTGAATAAACTTCTTGTGGTAGTCGTAGAGGAAAGGAAGTAAATAATCAAAAATGTATTCAACATAATTCTCTGAGAAGACACCTTCCTTGATGCAATTAACTTTAAGACCTTCTTTATCTAAGAAATAAGCAATCTCTTTTTGATTTTAAATCATTTCAGAAACAGAAGAAATGACTGTTTCTGATTAAATATGCACCTTTCTTAAGAAATTGAGTAAATGAGGTTTAAGCAAAGACATACCCTTTTAAAATGCAAATAAATATTTCAAAATCTCATTTATATTTTACCTTTTTGAATTATTTTCTGTTTTCTTAAAACTCAGAATCTTCGTACATGTGCTGAGAAAGATATTTCTTCTTTTTCTCTTCAATTTCTCTTTTTCTTTCTATTTCTTCTTTATCAGCTAAAGCTTCTTAGAATAACCCTCTTTTTCCTTATGTGTCTTTCAATTCTTAATTACCATCCTAAATTTTAATTTAATGTGTTTTGATTTAAAAGTGCAAGTCTAAATAAAGAAATAAATAACTAATCAAATTTATTTTGAACGGATTTTTAAAATTTGATTTGAAATTAATTTTATAAAATTACAGGTTTTTAATTAATTTCATTAGAAAATTTGGACCAATCTGCGTAGGAGTCTTCTTGTTGCAGCATTTATAAGAGTTAATTTACTTTGAATATACGTTTAAGTCTTGTAACCAAAATATTGAATTTAAATTCTTATAAAATGTGATCTGACTTTGAAAATTATTTAAGTTTTTCCATATAAGCATTAATTTTTTGCTTCTTTTTATCTTTTATACTAACTTTTTTATTATTTCCATCTTATTCTTCATCTTCGATTTCTCCAAATTAATCTTCCTCTTCTGCATCTTCATCCCCTAGCTCATCTATATCTTATAATGGTAAATCATAATCATTCACTTTGAAAGTCTTTCCTTTCTTTAATTTAGACTATTATTGACTCTCACCTTAAGCTTAATTGCTTAGAATATTATTCTACTCTTCTTCTTCTTCCTTAGAATTTTAAGTTGAAGAAATGTAGCTTGTCTAAATTAGTAAATTAAGTATTTTCATGTGATATTAAAAGGGTTCGTCACGGTAAGTATCTCTATACTCAACATCTTTCAGCTTTTAATCTAATTTTTATTTTTCAAGGGATTTACAGACATCTTCCAAATAGAATGAAAGAGATTTCTAATTTGATCCATTTGCGTACAATAAATTATACTCTTTTTCTGTTAATTCCCTTTTTTAATTAAAAAATTTTAGAATTTTTCAAATCCATTTCATAAAAAATGAAAGATTTTTAATTTATTATTTAAATTAGAAAAACGAAGTAAAAGTTAAAATGAAAAAAATTACTTTTATGGTAAGAAAGTGTTTAGGATGAGGAGTTGATTATCGAATATGTATTTATTTTTGATTTTGAGGATGATTTCAAAAATATCTAAAAATTGAATTTATCTGCCTTCATTTTCTATCAATTCTAAGAATGTTTCAATTAATTGTTTATCAATATTAGTTAATAAATCAATATTGTCTTTGTATATTGAGCAAATAAGAGTGGTTTATCCTAAGTCATATTTCAAATATTTGCAAATCATTGGAATATAATCCTTGATAATTGCCTGGTTTTCTCTACAGTCTTATGTGAAGTATATCAAAAATTCATAAACAAGTTCAAAGAGCTTAATTAAATATGTTTTTTTATCAGCTGGATAGCTGTCTTTCAGAATGAAAGCATCAAAATGGTGCATACCTTCGTTTAGCAATTCTATTATCGGTTCATGAATTTTCAAGTATTAAAATATTTTCTATTTTTCTTTATCAACTTTTTGATGTTCTCTTTTCTTTGATTGCTCTAAAAGTATAATATCTCCATCTGCAGTAGTGTAGCATTTGAAAAATCCATTGTTGAGATTATCTAATAATGTGATTAAATGAGAAATAAAATGTTCTTTATAGACTTTCTAAGCAAAAGTAGTAAACCAAACTTCGCACTACTCAACATATTTATGTAATCTCGCGTTCATGTCTTCTAAAGCATTAAAGAGATCATAAGTTTGCTTATCGAATATAATCTATTTATTTATAAATTCAAATATTTAATTTTGTTTTTATTAATAAGCTTTGAATTAATTTACTTGTAATTTTGATATATTTTCTAATAAATCGTATCTTTAGTTATACATTCTGATCAATATTTTCAATATTCTTTTTTCTAAGTTTTCATCATAGATAATAAGGAAGCTTGACAAAAGAGAAGGCAATAATGTGGCAATAGGGTTTTCATAAATATCTTCTTATTTTTTAGAATCAGATTGTTCGATTGCAGCAGAAAGAAGATTATTGAAATCCTGATAATGAATATACTCCTCTAATTTATAAAATATATTTTTGAATAATTAAAAAAATAAAATAAATAAAAAATATTTATCTACTTTTTGTGATGTAGCTATGGAATTTATCTTTTAAGTCTTTGCTCTTTTTCTTATTTAGTGAGATCTTAAAATCTAACTTAAAAGAGCCGTCTTGTTTATACTAGAAAATTTTATCCACACTGTCTATACCTGTTAGAGGTATGTTGGGTAAAAACCCTTTGACATGATCTTTCGTTATCTGTAATATTTTATTTTTAGCTTATTCTAAATTCAAATCTTTACCAATAGAAGCAATATTATCTTTGAAAAATTTCAGCATATTGGTCATTAGGTAATCATGTCTTAAATCCATAAAGTACTCAAGTATATCGAGAACTTTGAGTTTAACTTTTATTTCCGTCTGATAACCAATAGAATCAGAATAATTCATTTCTTCAAGTTTATTGTGAAGCTTAATTTGTCCTCTCATTATGTGATTATCATATAGCTTACTTTGTTCAAGAGGATTAACTAATTCTTGACTATCTAATTCATAATCAATTTCTTCGTCTATTTCATCAGATTCACCACCACCAATAATTGACTTATTCAATGTTTTACCAATATTTTTTATAGTAGAAAACCCTTAGCTTATATTGAGCAGATCTTTATTTTTATCTTTCTTTTTTTCCTTTCTTGTTTAATTTTGTAATTATAAAGTATAAGCACAAGCAGTAAAGTATTCTAAATTCTTCAAGTCATAAACTAATATCTATTATTTTTTATTTAATTATTTATTACTTTGTATCTTCTATAAAAATATTTCTAAAAAATTATTTTTAATTTTTATAGATTTTCAATTTTTGAAAAATATCAGTGGGATGATATTATTTTATTTATAGCATAATGCTATTGAGGTATTACGATAAACAGACTAAATTGAAATATTTTTTTTTTAATTTTTTATGATTAATTTGGAAATTTATTCTATAAAATAAAGATTTTATGCAAAAGCATTAATTACATTTTAAAGGAATGGCATAAAGTCTTTGTAGGAATCTGTTTTATTTAGTCCACCAAATAAATTGAGCTCTATAAGCAAATAAAGAAGCTCCATACTATTTAAGAGAAGAGGGTCTTAAAGTATCGACTGACCTCTCTTTTTCATTTTGAATTCCATCTCTCTATTAGTTCTATCTTTTTATCTCTTATAAATTATTATCAAATCTTAAATTTAATTTGAAACTCCTCTTAAGTAATTTTCAAGACCATTTAATAAGTTTTTGTACATAGCAATTTCGTTTTCTTGGTTTTTTTCTTCATCAAATATTTTTTCAAATGTTTCATCGCCTATTCTTTCAAAAAGTCTGCAATAATTTGGGAGATTCTATCTTTATAAAGGTTCATGGTCTATATATAAACTCATAGCAAGTTGACAGAAACATGATCTCAAAATAGGATAATCTTTTAAATCTCCTTAACTCCAAATATTCTAAAGTAAGTAGTAGTTAGAAAAGTGAGCTATTAGCTCCTTTCTCCATAAGAAGTTTCTGCCATAAGATAGCTCTGAATAGAACTTCAATTGCTCACTGACATCGTTTTCGAATTGTTTTGGCTATAAATTTAATAAAATAAATTTATTTTATAATTAATTAATAAATAAATTTTAATCATTATTTTTTTGAAATTCTAATTTTTTTTTACATCTCTTCCAAGCTCAGGCAGTTTAATTGATCCTGATTTAAAATATTGATCATAGCGGATTGCATTTCTCTTTTATGAATATTTTTTAAATATTTTAAAAATATTTTCTTGGTTAAGTGAAATGGCTTTGTTTTGTATTCTACAGATAGATCTTAAAAACTTCAAATAGTTGGAATTTAATTTAGAATTATCATCCCAAATCAAATTCATAAAGAAAACAATTAAATTGATAGGCTTCGTAGTAATTTTTTCATGTTATCTAAAAGGTATTTTTTCCTCAAACTGATCTTAGTATTAGAGATTATCTTGATCATACATATTAATTAAAATTTTAACTTATCTTCCCTAGAAGCTCTGTCCTTCTTCTTTTTTTTCATAGTCAAAATCTATTTTCAAATTCTCAGATAATGTCATTAAGATCTTTTCATTATTAGAGGTGAGGCTTATAATGCAATCTATTGCTTCTGGAATGTATTTGCAATGAATTTAAAAGAAAGGTATCAATTTAAAAGTATATTCTTCATTCACTTCATTATTTCTGCACAAGCTTGCAAGTAAAAGATAAATATCTTTCGCCATATTTACCTGAAGATATTTGTTAAATTAAATAAATTATTTATTGAAGCAAATAAAAATAAAAAAAAACCTTTTCTTTCAAATAAAATGCATGATCTTTTTTATTTGATAACTTAGATGTTTTATTTGCTTTGGATTTTTTCTTTTTGCTTCCAAATTTAATTCCACCTAATCCGTTTCCGTACTCATCACTATCGTCGCTATTATCTTCTTGATCCTCTTCTTCTAATTCTTTTCTTTCTTTATCCATTATCTATTTATATTCAATCCATGTTTCTAATTCATTTTTGGGTAGTAAATCTTCTAAAATTTTAACCTAAATTCAATTTTAAAATGAATGAGTTTCAATTAACTTTAAATAAAATTAAAAACTATACCAAAAAATCTATATAGTATTATTCTCTAAGTAGTCTCTAACGACGAGCGTTTGGTGCACCAAATTTTTACTCTTGCTAATAGTTAAGTAACTTATTACTACAGAAATTATTCAGGTTATTGATACATTCTCTTGATATTTTTATTTTTTCCTTTGCTTTTCTAATTGAAATTTCATCTCCCTATTCACATTATTAATTTAACCTCTTTTAGTTTATCAAAAATTTGATTAGAACATTTGAACAGCTGATAACGAACTTTGCCTCCCAAACTTCATTTGAACTAACAGAAAATACTTTGAATACTTAGTTTTCAGCTTAATCGTTTTTCAGAACTGCTCTAAGAGGTGAGAAAGCAGAAACTGACTCATTTTAATCAAAAGTAGAGAGTTAATTTTAATTTTGGAAATTCTTCATTTGAGCTGGTATATCAGCATTATCCTACTAATTAGAATTAAGTAAATTGATTACGTCTATCCACTACTTGCTTTCCATATTTCTTATAAATATGAAATTACCTGGCTCAACAAATTACTCGAAAATACTTGGCGAAGTTCCCAGTGCAAAGAATTAGAAAAGTGTAAAAGGGTCATTAGCATTTTTAGTAAGTGAAAGTTTCCATTTTTTGGCCATTTTTTATTTTTACTTAATTAATTCAGCTTCTTTATTTAACTTTTTTTTACGTCTACGTCTCGGAGATTTCTATTCCTCTGGTTAGCTTGTAGGAGAATCATCACCTGAAGAATAATCTAAATATCCTGAACTATCTTAATTGATATCAGATTTGCTGTGTTCAACAATAAAATCCACATGTTTTTCTTCATCATCTTCTGACTTTTCTGATTAATCATCATAAAAAGATCTATTAATTTGCTTGGTATGTTTTTGACTTTTTTTCTTTTCTTATTCAATTTTTTCCTATTCAAGTTATTTCAACTTTTATTCCATCTATATTAGATTTTCATCAATTACAGTAAGATAATATCCTGTTGGCATGTGCTTTAAGCGATATCCTATGCCATACTCTACATATCCTCCTTTTTTAAAATCTACATTCTCAATAATCCACAAACCAAATGTATTTCCTGAATAATCTTCAAATGATTGACTTTCCTTATTCTGAGCAACAAATATTTCCAAATTTTATTAAGAAATCCATTGCTTTTTTTTTACATGAAGAATTAAAAAATAATACTGAAAAAAACAAAAAAATACCTCAATATTTAAAGCAGTAAAGGTGTATCTAGTAGTTCCTCTTTCTTTACGAATGACTGAAAGAGCAGAGTTAGCTTCAGAGTGATGAAGCCAAATGGCATCTCCACAGTTTAGATATTTACTTTTAGTATCTGTGATTTCTTAATAAATTTAAAATTTGAGAGGTGTTGCAGTTTCTAAACAACCATTTATTTCCCTTTTCTAAATTTTTACTTAAACCTTGTTAGACATTTAATTATCATCCTTTAAATTTTTTTAAGCAGATTCCTATTTCTGTTCATATTAATGTTGCATTTTAGCTACATCTTATTTTTTATACATCATGGATGCTGATCCTTAGAATGTTTGATGCACTAATTATTTTTAAATTTAACTTTTTTTTTTCATTTCCATCAACTCCATAGAACAGTGTAAGTGAATAGTCTTATTGTTAAATGGCAATGCTCTAATAATCATTATGCAATCTCCTTCTGAAATAGCCTATTATGAAAAAAAAACATTTTAATTGATAAAAAGATAATATATATATGTATTTATTTATTAATTAATTTTTAGCAAACTATCAACAGATTTTAATTTGAAACAAAAGACCCTCCCTCAATTTCCTTTCAATCAACTCTATTGATAATCTTGAACAAGATAAATAATTTTCAGTTTTACATTTGAGCTATCCTTTTAGTATTTGAAGGCAGGAATAATTTTGAACAACGTTGAGTCGGTACAAAACTCCTCTAAGCTTATTTCATAGTTTTCCTTTTCCCACTTGCTTTCTACTGAATTGCAAGACAAAAATTTTGAAGAATTAAGATGTAATAACTAAAATGGCTAGTTGTAATTGACAGGTTAATTCTTATTGTTTTCAAATGTATCAACATTGTATTTATATTCATTTTGCAAGTAAACTTAATGTTTAGATATTCTTTTTAAAAATTAGTCTTTATCATCTTCTTCATCGAAGTAATTCTATGCATTTTTATCTTTATCTTCCTTATCCTTATCCTTTTTCCCTTTTTATTTATTTTAGTTATCCTTCGCCTCAACTAACATGTTGAACATTTACAGCTTTTCCTTGGTTAGTTCATCTTTGTTTTCTTCTTTTTGCTTCTATTTTTTATAAACTTCAATTTCTTTAATAATCTTGCTCTTTTAGGTATTAACCACTTTTGGAAAAACTTAAAAAAGACAATTTGAGAAATCATCCTTTGTTACCCCTTCAGTCTATTAACTTCTTTTAATAGCAAGATACTTGCTATCGTAACTTTTCATTTGCACATGCTTTTTAACGTGCCCATCAGCGCTAATAAAGCCATTTTCATCATCAAAAAAACGAAGGAGTATAATCTATCCATATCTTAAAATTCTTTCGTCCACTTCAGTCATTGCCAAAGAAATTTATGTTATAGTATTTAAAATTAAATTTGATAATCAGAAGCCTATTTTATTAGAGAAGTCTATTTGTATATTTAAAATTATATTCTTATTTATTCTCTATTTAATATTATAAACTGCTATTTAATTGCTTGTTTGTTTGCTTGTTGTATAGTAATTTGATATCAAAAATCAATAAATATTTGAAACCTTTTAACTACAAGGTTATCTAAATACAAAAAGTAATTAATAACAATATTTTTAAATTAAGTTATAACTCTTTTAATTTGTAAATTAAGGAAATCAATAAATAGCTCTTTCATTCATTTATCCATAATGAATATAAATAACTTAAATAATTAATTAGTTATTTAATCTAAAAAACAATCAGTTTTTGATAAACGTCACTTTATTCTAAACAAATAACTTGTCTTCATTCTAAATGTAATACAAAGCATATCTTTCCAATATTTTTGTAATATGATTCAGTCTTATTTCAAATAGTAAAATCTATAAATCAAAAGCTAAAAACTTTTAATTTATGCCTTTAATTACTTTAAAAGACTTTTAGTTTATCTATTTTTTTTCAATTTCAAACAAATTATACATTATTCATTGAAACCATTTTAATAAAATCATTGATAAACAATAATCTAACTTTAAAAATAAAATTGATAATTAAAATGATGTATTTTTTATTTAACAGTTAAAACTTTCAAATAATTTTTAATTTTTTCAAATATATTTTAAATTGAATGTTTTAAAATCAATTTTACTTTAACTTATTTAGTATTTTTTGATAAAATAATAAAAATTTATATTAATTTAAAAAATCAATAAATAATTATTTGAAATCAGTAAAATATTTTCGATATTGAAAAATCAATTTTAAGTAAATTATTTTATCAATAAATTTCTATTAAAGTGAGAAAATTTTTATTTATTTTATTAAATTCAATGAAGATCAAGAAATAATATGATTAAATGAATTCATACAATTAATTAATTCTAATTCAAAAATTATAAATAATTAAGAATATTTTTATAATAATTAAATTATGTAACTTTTTTCAAATCGTGTTTTGTTTCTTTTAATTTTAGCTGATTTTATTAAACGAATCAAAGATTTTTAACAATTCAATTTTATTCTAAAATATGCAATATTTTCTGAGAACAAAATATTTGGATTAATCCAAATATAAAAATTTAATTTAATTACAACTATTATTTTAAATTTTGTATTGTTATTTTTTATATATTATTGCATAAAGATTCATACAAGTAAATAATTTATTAAATAGTTTTGTTTAAATATTTTAAATTAGTTAATTAATTCTCAGGCATTCTATTGATTTTCAGCTTATTCCTTTAGCTTCTTCTCAAGTGCTTTTTGCTTAGCTTTTTATATAAGTTTAGTTAGGTTTTATCCTTCTTCTTCGCCAGGGAAAATATAATCGTAGTATTCCTCTTTACCTATTTTTAATTTAAATAAATAAACATAAAATCCATTTTAAATTTAAATTTAATTATCTATACCTGCTTCCTCTTCTATATCTCCTTCTGCAATTACAATTTTTCTTTCTTTTTTTACTCTTTGAGGTTATTTGGCATTAATTTAAGCAATAAATTAAGCATCTCCAAATTAAAGCTCTGTTTTCCTCCAACTTTCTAATATTATAGCTCTTTCCTTTTATTTTAAGAAATAAATAATTATAAATTTTAAATCAAATAAAATGAAAAAATATCAAAAGTTTTAAATAATTACTTCTTTAAGTTTCTCTGCTTTGAAGTATTCTTCAGCTCTTGTGTATACTGCTCTACATTTTTCTCTATCATCGATTTTAGCTTCGAAAGATGCATAACTAAGCCAAATCTATTTTAAAAAATATTTTGAGTAAATTTAAATAAAAAATCTATTTATTACTTTAACGTTCTTAGATCTTTTTAAAAGTTCTTCAAATAAATTTCTAACATTCTCGTTTTCTTCTAATTCTATTTCATTATCTATATAAGCTTTCCATACTTTCTCAGGCATATTCATAGTAGGGCGATTAATAGCAAGATCAAAAATGGCTCTGTATCTTTCTAATTCAGGCAGACTCTTTTCGAGTTGAGCCCATTGAATGAAAGGATCTGGGTTATCAGGGAAAACTTCAATGTATTTTTCATAAATCTTTCTAACTCTATCAATGTTAGCTAACTTATATTCGAGATCAATATATTCTCTGAAAAGTTTGTCGTTTGGACATTTACCAATAGCTGTTCCAAAAATCTTTCTAGCCTATTAAAAATATAAATTTAATAATTAATTTAAAATAATTTTGATTGATTTTATTATTGAAAAATAATTATTTTATTTTATTTTAAAAGAAAAAGAAAAAAATGAAAAATTTGTGTGTAAATTTTTTACTGCTTCTAAATTTTCGTGTCTAACTTAAAAGTGAGCATACATAACCCATAATTTAGAGAAAGTGAATTTGCTATGAGGCACTAACTTAAGTGCTCTTTCATAAACTTCTTTAGCTTTAACTGGGTCATTGCCTTCCATTTCTTCAAAAGTAGCATAATTGTACCATAAATAAATGTATCTTCTCCAAAGTCTTTTTTCTTGTGCAAGTGGCACATTTTTAACTGCATGCTCAAATGTATCTCTTGTTCTAGCGCTATTACCAGTTGCTATTTCTAAATTAACCAAATCAAACCAAGCATCATAATTCATTTTATTTTCTGCAATTAGCAACTATAAATAAATAAAATAATCATTAATTTTTATTTAGCTATTTGTTTGCTTGCTGTTTATTTGAAAATAAAATTACTTTGTAATGAAGACGTCTTTCGTTGAAAATAAGCTCATCGATATCATCTTTTGTACCATGCTACTTTTCAAAGCTTAAATATTCTTCATATAATTTTTTTGATTTTTCTTTGGGAATATTTTCTAAACCAAACTTAAAGATTTCTCTAGCTCTATCATATTCTTAGTTTCTAATTTCAAACTTTGCAAAATTAACGAAATATTCTTCTTTTAAAGCTTCTTGGCCAAGCTCTTCTAATGTTTTTTCAAATAATTGTCTAGCTTCCTATTTATAACCTAGCTTTATTTCAAATTTAATCACCTTTAAGTATGTTTTTAGTCTTGGAAAAGCATCCATATAGCTGTTAAATATAATAAAAAATTAATCTTAAATTCGTTAATATAAAAATTTTTTTCTTTATTGTTTAAGTTTTTACTTGTACATAACTTGCCTTGCATTTTATACTTCTCCCATACGCTATTCAAAAGATAAATAGGCTAACCAAGCCTTTTCCTCAGGTCTCCATTCCATCCATCTTTAAAAAATATTTCTTGCTGCTACATAATTTGCAATCATTTCCTTTATTTTATTAACTAAAATTTAAGATCATTTAGATAATAGAATTAAGTACCTCCATATAGGCGTATTTGTACCAGAATTGATCAACTCTTGGTAACAACTCAATCGCTCTTTCAAATACATTTCTGGCATGATTGATGAATTTATGTCTCATTTCCATTTCAATATATTTAAGCCATAGAGAAATATTTTTATAATCTACTTCTAATGCTCTTTCATAAACACTTCTAGCTCTTCTAAACTCTTGCAGTCCTTCTTCAAAAACTGCATATCTATATATAAAAGTTAAAATATATTTTAATCGCTATTTTATATTTTCAATTTAAAAATGTGGTGTCTAGCTTGAAATAAATCTTCAAAAATGATGAAATTCAACTATCTATTTTGAGTATTTTATATATTGCAAAGTATTCATATATATTCATAGTAATTACTTTATCCAATGTCCCATATGGAAACGCTATTGCCTAATTTTATTTTCGAATTCTTTCCTTTTTCTCTATTTAATTTCATTAAGATCATCTTCATCTCTAATTCTATAGTCAGGTTCTACAAAGGGTTTCTTTCTATCTAAAAAGGCTCTTTACAAAAGCTGTTCAGCTGTTATCTATATAGGATTAGCTGCCTTATTTTTAATTTTAGGCGGCCTCATTGTAATCATATTATTATTTTAGATTTAATCACCCATATTTATTTCCTTATTGATTTTATATATTCAAATTAATTTAGGATATTTATTCCCTAAAAACAAATGATAATTAATAAATTGATGAATAAATAAGCTTATTTGTTTAATGATAGAGTTAAAAATTTTATTTCAATTAAATGTTATTATTTTACATCTTAAAAATAGAAAAAAATTCTCATAATATCAAATTAATAATAAACATAATATAATTAATGAAATATTTAATCTTTATTAAGTTCATAAACAATTAAAATTATTTTTTGATTTTACTCTAAAAATGTAAAAATACTCCTTTAGGTAAAAGAAAAAAGAATAATCTTAATAAATAAAATAATGAATGAATATCTTATCTACTTATCAATTAATAAATTAAACATAATTAAATTATAAATTCTAAAATTAAAAAAAAAAGATATTCAATTGTTAAATTTGATTATTGTAAATCTTAAAGAAATAATTCAACACAGAAAACATCAAAACATAATTTAGTCTTTAGTTATTTGCTTTATTTATAAAAGCTATTATTAAGCTTATTAAAAAAAATATACATATAGTTTGTTTGTTAATAAAATATTTCATTAAATTAAATTTTATTTTTTGTTTAAATAAATACAAAATTATCTAAATTGTTGTGTTTTAATAAAAAATTTGTCTTAAATAAATACTCTTTATTACAACAACTATTAATTTATATTAAAATTATTCATTTTAAGCAATAAATAAAAAATTTATATTTAAAAAATGAGGAAATCATTCTAAAATTATAATTTAAAAATTATTTATTTTAAATTTGTCTGAAAAATTGTTTAATTTATTTAATTTTTATTTTTGTTACTACTTTAAAATTTATTAACCATTTTTATTTAACCAACATTAAGATACTTCTATAAACCCTATAATAAATGAAATTATATCAAGAATATATTTTGATCATTTTTTAATAAATTTAAATATCCAAAATTTGGATTTATTTTTATTTTATTAGTAGAAGGTAAATTTAAGGAAAATACTTTTTTTTAGGTTTAAGTAAATTTTGTAAAATAATTCAAAAAGAGTTCTTTTTTGAAAAAATTAAGCAATAAATTTTTAATTTAAATATTAACTGAATTCATAATATTTTAAATAATCTTTTCTATCTTAAAATTATGAATTAGTTAACTAAAATATTAATAGCCAATTAAAATAAATTAATGTTAATTTTAATCTTACTAGAATATAGATTTTTTATAAAAATATTATCTTTTTTTTTTAAAAATTGATTTCATATTTTATCACTTTTCATAGAAATAATAATTTGTAATTAAATTCATAAAGAAGAAAAGATTAACTATCTATCTATAATTGCTATTATTATCTTATTAAGTCTTTTAATAGGTGAATTCTATAATCTATTTGCCTAAAAGTGAAATTTAATATTGCTAGGTAAAACAATTTTTGTTATCATACTTAAGAAATTAATGAACTTTTAAATATTTGAAAAAGAAAAAAATTAATATGTAGAATATATATTATAGTTTATTTAATAATTCATTTAATAAGTGAATTATCATCTCAATAGTCATAAATATATAAAATGTTAATTAAAAAATTACATTTTATTTTATTAAGATGCTTGTTTGTTTAATGGAAGAATGTTCGTATTAAATTCCGATATATATAAATTAAATTCACAAAAAAAAGTGATAAGATTTAAAAAATTGAATGAAATTGATTATAAATTCCTTGAAAAAAAAGAATAATAAATATCTGGCGCAATTTCAGAGAAGAATATAATTGCCTGCTTGCTGAATTGATTTAAGATTTTTCTTTTTTTAATAGCAAAAAAGTATTAATAAAACATAGAATAATTTTTTTCAACAACTAAATCAAAAATAAAAGCAAATTAGTTAGCATAATCCTCATTGACTATTTTCTACCAAACAATTGCATAATACATAGGCTGTTACAGTAACAAAGTTACTTAGATTAAAAAAGGAAGACTTTAGATTCTTTAGTCATTTAAAAATAATCAACATAAATAATGGACTCTGCTGAATAGCTTAGCTAAGAAGCAAATGATAATGAAAACTGCCAAAGTAGCAGCTCGAATTTAAATGCTACTCATAACGACATATTAGGTAAAATCAAGACAAAAAGAAAGTAGATTTTTAAGTTAATGAAACGCCAGAATACAAAGTAAGTAGCATTCAACATTAAATTTAACTTCATTTAGTTAGCATTTTTTTCTAAAATTTTTATGATGGAAAAGCTTGCTTTAATTTTGATAACTACATAAAAAATCCATTTATAAGCTAATTGAAACTTTGTTAAATTCCACAAAATCCTCAGTTTAAAGTGTTTATCATTATCACACTTTAGCTATGCAGCTTATTTTTAACCATGTATGCCTAAATATCAATTAGTACTTACTATTCGTTTTATTAATTGCTTCTATCTCCTCAAAAAGAAATATACAAAATAAAGAAATATTAAATGCAATAATGAATTTGTTTAATCTTATTAATTAAATAATTAATTAACAAATAAATTAATTAATTAATAAATAAATAATATGCATTTTTCATCAAATATTTGAATATCAGTCCCATAGTTTATAGATTGTTTGTTTGCTTAATAATCATTCATTCAATTATAATTAATATTAATAAACCCCTTTTTTTTTTGATAAAGCAGACTAATTTAAAATTTTTTATAATGACAATCAATAATTCATTCATTCATTCGTAGGCTATTGCACCTATCCATTCATAGATTATTGATTTCCTTTCAAATTATTTTTGATTATTTCTTAATCAGCTGACTTTTTTATTTCTTACCAAAAATTGCGGAATTAGATCCACTTCTTCCTATTCATTCATTTATTTATTTTTGATTTTATTTATACTTTAAATCTATTAGATCACATTTATCATAACTTAATTTTGAAAGCATATCCATAATATTTTTAGATGAATATTAAATAAATGCTAATTAATCTTTTAGCTTCTCTATATTTTTGCATTTTACATTAATCATTTAAAAATTAGAAATTAATTTCATATTTTCTACACCAATTTAAATTTTATCTTTGTATTTTCTTTTTTTCATTCTTTTAAATATTTAATATATTAAAGTAGAAAAAAATGCTCAAGTTACTCAGGCCCAACTCACAATAGAAAAGGCTAAAATGAAGGCCACTAAATTGATATCCGTTAACATTCAAACTCAATATTGAACTTGCCTTAAAATTTAAGCTTGGAGTAAAAGGATTCATCAATAAATAACAATCCATCTTAAAATAACTTGGAAGATGACGAATTATTCTCTTTAAACGGCTCCTTCTGCTAGTCACCGCCTTTTTAGCACATAAAAGATTTCGCTGATAATATTCAAATAACAGAAAAGCTCTCAGATATGAAAATATCCAGTCATACTCCTCCACTAAATCCTCAGAGATTATATAATTTAAATATGAATCCCTTGAATTTTAATGAAGATGATGACTAAAATTCAAATGAAGATAGCAAATATAGAGAAGAAAATTATATTTTGCCACAAAAGAAAATAAAAACTTAAAATAACAGAAATTATGAATAAAAAAGATAAGCACAAACTAATAATTTGAGAAATGCTTACAAATTAAAATAAAGTGAATCGGAAAATTAAGAAGACCTTCATAATATAGGATTTGATCAAGAGCTTTCGCACTCTGTATTTGACACTGAGTCTATATAAAATAATAATATAGACAATAAAACATAAAATTAAGAAATAGATGCTGATGATAATGAAATTAATTTATCTCCTGCAGCAAATGCAGAAGGTTGCAGCAATGCGTAAAGTATTATGAATTCACATGAAAAAAAATAAATGCAACAATAATCATAGTAATATAGTAGAAGAGAAAAAAGTTTAGAAGAATTATCCAAAAAATTCTTAACTATATTTTTATAGAAAGAGTAAATGCTGATAAGTCTTGATAAAATCACTTAGTAGCTAGGTAAATAAACACTTAAAAACTAAATAATAATTAATTTTTTTAAAGATGTTGAAAGGAGAAGAATATATGATATTATAAACATCCTTGAGAGTCTTAAGCTCGTTACAAGGAGAGGTAAAAATAACTACAAATGGAATGGGTTTGAGCAGATCTTTGACACAATACAATTTGTAAAAAGTTTTTTAGAATTTGAATATTTTATATTTTAATTTAACTTAAAAAACAAACAATTGTTTTCTATTAAATAAGAAATAAAACAAACAACATTTAAAATGCTAATTTCATTAAAAAAAAAGACATTAAAATTTATAAATTAAATAAATAAAAAATACAGTTTAGCACTCAAAGTGACAAACAAGAAGTTAATTTAGTTGCAGCAGAGCAAAATGAGAAGAAAGAAAAATCGTTAGAAATACTTTCGATTGGATTTTTGAAGTTATTTTTAAATTTCAAGTAAACTCTTTCTTTAGAGGAGGCAGCAAGAAAACTATCTCCAAATAACAGTGAGAACTAAAAGATAAAAACAAAAGTAAATTATTTAGTAAGAATTAATTATTTAAATTCAATTCATTTTTAAATAACATAGATAAGAAGATTGTATGATATTGCTAATGTATTTAAATCTTTGGGACTTATTAAGAAAGTCTAATTAAATGAAACTAAGAAGCCTGCTTTTTAGTGGATTGGGATTACAGGGCTGCAAGATTTTTACAACTCTTCGAAAGATAAAGAAGGCCTTGGAAGCTATTAAGAGCTAGATGAAACAAATAAGAGCTAAAAAATAAATAAAAAAGAATAATAAATTTAATAAAGAACTCTTTCTAACTCTTTAGTTAATTTATAAAATTAAAATGATTAAAATATATAAGATACCACGAAAACAGACTTTATGAATTGCAAGGACTTCAATTAATTCTTTTAGTCCATAGAAAATAATAATAACTCTTTATAATAAAATTTAATTGCTCCCTTTTAATAAGAAAAAGTTATAGCAGCTGAAGATCCTGATAAAGATGATGATTTTTCTGCTTCAAAAAATACTTGCTTTTTCTCAAATTCAAAAAATAGTGCTTTTAAAAGGGTCAGCAAAAGCTTATCTTAAACGACATAATAAAATGCTTAAATTAATCCAAACAATAGATTAATTTGCTTGGAAAATTTAGTTAGAAATTCAATTTTCTAAAATAATTAACTAACCAATTCCCTTAATATAAGTTAAAAACTTACTTAGCTGTTTGAGCAAAAAGGAAGGCCAAACATATTTTCAAATATAGTCAACGATCAAAATATACTAAATAACTAGAATAATACCACTGAAAATTAATAAAGAAAGTAGTCAATACAAAGCGAAAATAAAAAAGAATACAGCTATTCCTGGTACTGAAATTCAATTAATCATAATTGCTATTTTAAGAACACGTAAAATAAATAATGTGTTAGCTAGCTAGTTTTCTTTTTCAAATATAATATTTAACAATTTAATCAAAAAATAATAGAGTAAAATTAAAAATAAATAACATTTTTATAATAGAGTAAATATAATGTATATAAATTCTGTAATATAAAGCTTATTTAACATTTTATCATTTTTTTCATTTTCAAAATAAAAATTCTCATTTTTTAAAAAAATATTTCTAACCTGAAATTAAAATATCACTTACTCTGTAGGTAGTTTAGGTAGGTACATACATTTATATGGTGATATAGTACCCTAGGGTACTATCTTTTTCAATACTACATACACGAATTAAAATAAATTTATTTAATACATGAGATACTTTAATTGAAAATACTGTAATTAGTTTTAATTAAAAATCTAAAAAATTAAAATTAAAATCAAGATTTTAAATTTAAAAATCTTAAATCATAAATTAATAAAAAACTATTGGTTAAATTAATTAAATTTGTGCAATTTGTTAAAGATTATAAATAAAAATAGAATATTTATATTATTATTTTGATTAAAAACAATTAATTACAAAAATTTTTTTATTAAATTGAAAGGGAAACTTAAAAAATAAAGAATCATTATGTAAAATTAGATATTTTACAAAAAGCTTTTAAATTTAATTAATATTTTTGTTTAGATATGTCAACAAGTATTGCATGATTTTTCTTCTGTAAAATATAAAATTAACTTTATTAAATTGGTCATTTTCAAAGTCAATTTTAACAGCTATTTTTCACTTTGAGGATCTATTTTATTTCCACTAAAACAATAATTAATAATTTACTATATTTTAAGTTTTTAAATTACCCTAAACATAAGATTATAGTTGAAAGATTCTAATTTTTTGATATTGCAGCCACTAATCTAAAAATGCCTTGATTATTAATGTCATTTGATCTATTTTTAATAATCTAATTCAGCTTTTTATAACAAAAAATTAAATGTGTTTACTCTAAATCTATTTTGATGCCAATTAATTTTGGACAATAAGATAAAGCAGTTCCTAAGCACTCAGAACCTAAATCACCCACATTATTGCTACTTTTAATTGATATAAAAAATTTTTAGATATAAAATTTCAATTTAAAATATAATAAATTTTTATTAATTTATTAAACGACTTATACTTTTAAAATGATAAAAAAATAATTATATTTTTAGAGTAAAATAATTTTTTTGAATATTTAAATCAAGAAAAGAAAAATATATCTTACTAAATAGAGAGTTCCAAGATTTAGAGAGATTTACAGTTCTGAATTTGATTTCCTAATTCTTATATTCCCTAATCACCTATATTGTTTTTGCTTTTAATATATCAAACAAATTTATTTAAATTGTAAATTTCCATAAAAAATTAAACACTTTTAAATTTAAAATAATTAAATTATTTAAATGATAAAAATGAATCAAACTAATGTTTTACTCCATATTTAATTTAATTGTTGATAAGTTTGAGCAAGTTGAAAAAATATTTCCAGCAAACGATATCCCTTAATTACCAATATTATTCTACCTTTAAAATAAAATATCATTAAATTTAACCTTTTCATTTTAAATACAAACATAAAAATAAGAATATAGAATTTACTAAAGATTTAAGGTTAATTTTCTCAAATTTTAGCAGCTTTATATTTGAGAGCACAAGCCTTAACACCCAGCATCACCAATTTTGTTGTTACTTTATTATGGAATTAATTAGATATTTAATTAATTAAATTAAAATCATAATAATTAAAAATTTTGCTAAATTTGTAACATAAAATTAAAAAAATTATCTTTAAATTTATATAAATTTGTTTAATATTTTTTCAAGAATAAAAATTATTATTTTTAAAGCCAAAAGTTCTTTTTTTTTACGATAATTAAAGAAATAAAGTTTGAATTTATTTGCATCTTGATAAGGCTATACCCAGGTCAATTGCTCCCTGTTAACCAATTGAATTTGAGCTATATAAATATATTTATTAAGCTTAAAAAAAGGATAACTGTAATGAAATATATTTTTTTAAATTTAATTTATATTGATTTAATATGAAAAATTTATTTTAATAAAACAAAAAATATTTATTACCCCAAATAAACTGTCAAACTTAATAAATTTTTGCATTCAGCTAATGACGAAACCAAGTTTGAAGGGCCATGAACACCAATTTTATTTCTTCTTTAAAGAAATAATTTAAATGTTTAATTTGTATAGAATTTAATGATAAATTTTCTTTTGAAAATTACAATTAAATTTTAAAAAGATATTATTTTCAGTTAAAATTCTAATATTTAATTTTTGTAAATTTATTTACGCTAACTGGATTATCAATGTTTAGAGATTATCACACTTTGAAAGTGAATTTCCTAATTATAGAGCTCCTTCTGCTGTTATATTGTTAGAGCTTTTTGTATATATATAAATATAAATTAATAAAAAGTACTTTATCCTAATTAAATTAAAAATGAAGTAATATTTAATGATTTTTTATATAAATAATTATTAATGCCTAATACGAGAAATAAAATTATTACCCAATGTATAATTCTAAATTAGAAATATTTTTACAGTGGTAAAGAGGCTTAACTATAGCTGATAAGCCTAGATCATTGATTTTATTAAACCTTTTTTTTATTATTTTTTTAAATTTAATGTTTAATTTTTTACAAGAATTTTTATCTAAAATATCTATCTACTCAAGGTCAATTTCCAAAGATTTTAAGTTAATGCAATTTGTAAAAGAAGATCCTAATTGAGATTAGCCTTATTAATCAATTGTGTTTTTACTTTAATTTTTAATATATATTATATTAGAATAATTAATTATTAAAATGATTTTCAGCATTCAAATATCAATAAATTATTTTTTATTTGCTAATTTTAATTAAAACTTTTAAAATAAAATAAGCAAATAAAAATATCTATTTTTTGTTTAAATAGACTTAAAATTAAAAAAATAATAAAGTAAATTTCACATAAAATCTAAATGCAAGAATTCATGGTGTATCAACTCAGATGATAAAAACTTTTTATTATTAAAATAGCTAAATCATAAATGAAATATTTAAAATACTTTAATTACATCATTTAATTATTCGTATTTAATTTTCTTTATTGACATATTTTTTTTATAAAAAAAATACCTGCCTGCCCTTTTGAAATTGATTGTTTGTTTTTATCAATAAAAAAGCAAATATTTAGAAAATAAATTTTTGATAAAGGTTTAATTTAATTATGTTAATTATAAACATATTTACAAATCTAATATAAGGTTAAAGACATTTTTTTACTTCTCCAAATTTAAAATTTAATAAATTTATTTAAATTTATTTTAAACATTTTTCAGAATTTATTATGAATATAAATAAAAGAATTAAATTAAAAAATCAAACTCAATATAAAAAGTGATTTAATATTAATTATTCACAAGTACTTAATTTTATCAAATAAATGAAATCAGATTTATTTTTAAGTATTATTAAAAGCAATTACAAACAATTAATCACTTTGATATATTAAATTTTGATACTATTAATTATTAAAAATTAATTATATTAATTAAAAACTAAGAGCTTATTACTCATTTCACTTACTTACTTATTTACCTACCTGCCTACTAACTTATGTAAGTTAAATTTTAATTTATTTCAGTTTTAGTTTCATTTTTGTCAGAATTCATAAATCCAATAAAAGATTTAGGCTCAATATAATTTAATATATAAAAATTCTTCTTACGTATTTAATTAGATTAAACAAATAATAAATTCTTATCAAATTTATTTGATATAAACCTTAATGAAATTATTATTACCATTACATTGGTTCTTATAAAAAAAAAACCTTAAAATAATTAAATTTAAAGTATTTTTTTCAAAATTTTTTTTTCTTGGAAGTTAATATATGAGAAACTGCTGTATTTATAAAAATTAAACTAGCTGATTTGACATGTATATCCAATCAATCAGCTAATTTCAAAGAGAGGAAGAGCTAAATTCATAAATAATTTACATATAAATTTTAAGTTCTTATTTTATTATTATGTTTTGCGCTTAATTAAAAAGTAAAAAAATTTATGATAAAAATTATATATAAATTTGATAGAAAATTTTTAATTGATATGATTTCTAAAGAGAAATCTACATTCTTTAACAGCTGTAGAAAACAAAAAATAAATAATTATTTAATTAAATTTACAAAAATTATAAAAATAAAATTGGAGAAAAACACATTAAAAAAAATGAAATTTATTAATCAAAAAGTAATTTTTTCAAATATAATTTTAAATTTTGTCAAATAAACAAATTTTAATTTGCAATAGTACAAACTAAAATATCGTAATTTATTAGAAGATAAAAGCTCTTTATTAATGAATGATTTGATAGAATGCTAAAGTATGACTCAACTTTCAATAGAATTTTTGTAATATTTAAAAATTTTTTAAAATAATCCAGATATTATTATTAGCATTAAAATAGAATTAAAAAAAAGTAAATTTTCTAAATTAAAATTTTTGAAATTTAATTAGAGAAGTCACACATAAAGATGAATATTAATGTTGTTGCTCTGATTTTGATTTTGATTTTGATAGTTTTTACAATATTAGTTTGATAAGTGATAAAACTATATCTAAAATATTGAAAAATTTAAATAGCTGCAAAGATCTTTAAATTTTGAAAATAAAGATAAAGTAATAAATTTCTAGCTTTTTTGAATTTTAACAATTCAATAAAATATTAATCTTAAATTAAAAATTATTATATGAAGAAACATTGGATATAGTCCTATTGAAGTTAAGAACTTAATTTTTGGGATAGCTAATATCTAAAAATTGACAAATTTATCTCTTACTTTTAAGTAATAATTAATCTTAGCTTAAAAAAAAATCACACACGCATAAATTTATTATTATTATTATTTTAAAAACTGATTATAAAATTTATTTCATTTTTCTTAAATATTTTTTTTAAATATAGGTAGTCGTTTTTTGATGAGAAATGTATGGTCCATTTAGCTGAAGAAATTATTAATTGTCAAAATTTGAAAACTTTGGCTCTTTCATTTAAGTAAAATAACCTCACGTTTTTTGGTACATAAAATAAAATTACTATTTTATGATAAAATATAAAGGCAAGAATTGATAACCACACTTTCTATTCATAATTTAATTGATTCAATCTCTAAAATTACATAGCTTGAATCTCTAAAATTAAAGTTTATGTAATATGAACATATTTTTACAAACAAATATTTATTATTTCAAAATTAATTAGCAATAATTTGAAAGATAAATTTTCATTTTATGAAGTACTAAGCTAGATAACTAGAGTCTCTAATCCTAATCTTAAGAATTTGAGTCTAGATCTAAGGTTTTTTATTCATTCTTACTAAAATTATTTTTAATTGATTAATTTTCCTAAATTATTCAATCTTTTATTTATTTTTAATAGAAAATAATAAATAAATAAATAATAAATATCTTAATTAATAGCTATAATCTAATCAACTATGAGAAGATATTAGAAGTTGGAGATCTTTTAACCAAATTAAAAAATTTGAAAAGCTTTGAACTAAATTTAACGTATAAAGACATATCATTCTTTATTTATTTTTAGATTTAAAGTTCATTAGATAATGATTTAACAGTCTAATATTTTACTTATTAAAAATATTGATTCAAAACACTAAAAAATATGACAAAATTAACAATAAATTTCATAATTAAGCCTTAAATAAATAAAAGAAAAGTAAATAAATATTTTTTTTTTAATTAGTTCAACAGATATTAATGAGGAATAATTTTCTATTTTGTGCCTTGAGCTACTTAATATTAAAAGTTTACTTAATTTGAGTTTACTTTTAAGGTAAAATATTGTCAAAAAAATAAATTTTCTTAATAAATAATTTATCTACAGAGGTAATTATATTGGAGATTCTGGTATTTTAAGTTTAATCAAGCTTTTAAAATCTTCTTAAAATATAAAGATTTTTACTGTTGATCTTAGGTAACTTTTTGAATATTGTATTTTTAATAACAAATAAAAATTATTCTTAAATTTTATTATTAGGAGCAATTAGATATGTCTTTATTGCAATTAATTTCTTTAAGAATTTTTAGAAAGCTTGAAAAATTTATTCTATTTGAATCTATATTATGGGTAATTTGATTATTCTAATTTTAATTAAAAATATTATATTATTTAAAAGTCGAATCTCTTTTTCTTCAATAAATATGCAAATAATGAATAAAGCAAAAAGATTAATTTAATATGAAGAAAATATAAAATCTAAAGAATATAGCAAATCTGAAAGTCCTCCCTAATTTAAAGAAAAAGAGCAATAATTAATTTGGGAATCCAATCACTATAAAACACATAAACACAATAACAAGGATATTGATAATGATTAAGATACTAGTTATGAATTTGATTTTGATGATTTTAACATGCAATTATTTGAATGAAAATTGAATTATTATAAAATGATTTTTATTTAAAATAAATTTGTATTATTTTTTAAAAATACATGTAGAAAAAAGAACAATTATTTTATAAATTTAAAGTTTGTTAAACATAAAAAAGGACTAAATTTGATCAAAAGTTTTTATCTGAATATGTCCTTAATATATGAAAAACTACGGTATTTCTTTATTTTTTTGAAAGTAATTTTTATGTAAAAAAATAAAATATTTTTAAAAACAGCTTTCTTTCTATAATTATATTAGAAATATATTTTTACTTGATAAAGAAAGTTTAGAAAAAAATAATAAAAAATAAATAATAAGTAAACATGTTTGTTATATAATTAATTTATTTGTATTTTATTAGTATAATGATTTTAGATTTCAAAAATCATAGAACTATTGTAGCATTGGAATTTGAGTTTTCTATTCATTTGTGCCTCCAATAATTTAAACTTTCTGAGTTGGAGCTTTTTCATACAATTTATGACTAAGATAAATACAAGCTCTTGGATTATAGATAGCAGGTCTTTTTTGATTTAGCTTTGGATCATTTTAAAGATCACACTAAACTAAAATATTAACATAATTTGAAGGAATATTCTAATATCCTACCAATGATCCTATCATACCACCTACAATACATGCAGCAGTATCAGTGTCTCCATGAAGTCTAATTATTTATTTTAATACTCTTGGTAGTAAATCGCTATCTATTGATTCACTACCTTCTGCAATTCTTTTCAAAATAATAAATACATTGATGAATTAGTGTTTAATCCAAACTTCATATATTTTAGTTTCGCTAAATTTCTCCTTTAAAACATTTTCTCTCCACCATTATTATATAACACCTATGTTTAAGAAATTTTCTACATAATTGTTAATATCTTCAAAAGCTTTTTTTGCGTCTCCATTTTGTATAAGATTGATGCATGCTCTGACATAAATGTATGTGCAATCTAAACAAATAAATAAATAAATAAATTATGTTTTTTAAAAAAATTAATGTTAGAAATCAAAGTAAATTTGTTTAAAAATATTAATTAATTAATAAAAAGATATATATTTCTATTTGTCAATATTCTTTTAATATTCTAATAACAAAGTGTATTTATTTATTTATTTATTTTACATTAAGATATAATGTTAGGGTGTGTGATTTACTACTCTGAAAATACTGATTTTTTTATCTCTTCCTAGTCATTTAATTTTGAAAGATAGACTATAAGGGAACATATTCTCATGCAACCACCATTACTTTCTGAGTTTTGATTATCAATCTAAGCTTAAGATATTGCTATATTAGAAAGATCCTTTTCTTAAACCTAGTCTTTGTTCATCTTAATGTTTATTTACTAGTCATTAATAAGTAACTTAAATGGATTGGAAGTTGTTTATCCTTTTTATATTAATAAAATGAATAAAAAATAGATAAATTAAATTCAATTTTATATATTTAGGATTATGCAAAAATTAAATTATTCAATATTGTAAATATTTTATTTATCCTTAGTCAAAATATGCAAAATGTAAATTTATTTATTTATTTTTACCAATATCAATAGGCTTAGATTTAACCCACAAAACATAGTATTTTGTTATTAAATTTAGATCAATAGAGTTTTCATCGCTTTCAATTAAACCATATCCTAAAGAGGTAGCTAACTCGCTATCATCAGTACCTTAGCCAGCAATAACTCTATGAATTCCTCCTCCTTCCATTCTTATTGCTTTTTAGATTTATTCTTCAGTTAAATCTTTCGTGAACTCTGTCACTGTACCTATGCTATCACCGATGTACGAGCACATCATACAACCTATAGCTCTTTTTTCTTAATCAGAATTATTTTAATTTTTTAGTATGACCTAAACATCTTCAGGTGATAAATTAAATTTCAATTCTTAAGAGTTTAAATAAAGATTTTATTTCTGCATTTTCTAATTCTTAACTAAATTAATTATTTTTTTCTTTCTTAAAATTAATTAGCGATATCAATAAAAATCCTTAGTATCTAATTATTCTAATAATTCTTTCACCCCTTTTAAGAGAATACACACATACCTTTTGTTCACATATTTGGAATATTCAACTCATCATCTTAAATAAGTGGCATTAACCAAAAAAAATAATAAATTCAAATATTTTAGTTATTTAATAATTTAAGCTAAAAAATATAAATATTTTAACATTAATTAAAATAGAATTTTTTAGATTTAATTATGATAAAATAATATTTTAAATATTTAATTTAAATAAATAATTTTAAAATTAATTGTGGGATATAAAAAAATAAATTTTATTTATAATTAATAAAAGAAGTTTGATTAATTTATTTATAATGAATGAAAGCATAAAAAAACTGAGTTCAAATAGTGTGGATATTTAATTAATTGAGTGAATGATAAAACTTGTGAAATATGTTTTTTATTTTTATCTATATGGGTGTAATAATTAATTAATTTTGAAGGCTTATTCTATAATATATCGATAATATAAATCTTAAATAACGAACATCTAAATTAATTAATAAATAAATAGAAGTGAATGTGCTGACTAACTATTTGATTGAAAATGAATTACTATTATTACACTAAAGTTATCCAACAATGTTTATTTTGTATTTTGATAACTAAAAGTAATAAAAAGAAAATTAATTAATTAATTAATTAATTTGCAAGTGAAATAATTTATATTTATTTAATTTGAGAAAGTAGAAGGTTTTAAAATATTGAATATAAGCTAAAAATAGAATTTAAAAACTTTGAGATTATCTGACAAAGCAAAGTTTAAAGAAGTAATAAGAGAGGCTATTTGAACCAACTACTTTAGCATTTGCTTTAAACATTTTAACTACTTATTAGCAATGAGTCGACACAGTTATGACAAAAACAATATTTTTTAAGGCTTTGAGTAGCCTAATAGGAATGATATTTATGATAATTTAAACCAAAAATAATAAGAAAATCTAGGTTTAATTTATGCTACCACCTAAAAAAGAGCAAAAAGGTATTAAGAAAGCAGGACAAAAACGTTGAGCAATAGCTCTGAAAATTAGGAATTCAGAGGGAATATTTAAAACAAAGATCATAATAATTAAGAAAAATAAGAACTAATATATTTTGATTCAGATAATTTTATATCTGCATCAAAAAATTAAAAGGATTAGCAATAGTAAATGAATGGATGGAATAATAGCAATAATTAGCAAGAAGGTGGAAGTGGCTAGAAAGGCAGGAGATCAAATACCAAATCAAATACTCCAAATATTAGGAGTGAGAGACGATAAAGCAAGATTATTCAAGGATTCAGTGATGTTTAGGCACTGATGAGTTTAGCATAAAACAACCCATCTTCTCACAACAATTCAGCTTAAAAAGATATAAATTAGTCCTTTAACTAAGCAGGAAAATATTAACAAAGTAATAAGCATAGAGGGTCTAGTTAGAATGGACATAATGAAGTAATAGATTATTTTATTAACACTTAGGAAATAAAGAAATAAATAAATAAATAATAAATATACTTACAAGAAAATAAATAGAGTATTTATTATATTTTCTATTGCAAAATATAATAATTAAATCATTTAAATATAAATCATGCAATTTATATATGTAATTAACACATATTATATTTAATAATAGAGATAAACCAATAAAAACAAAGATTAAGGCAATTAAGATCTTTTAGCTAGGCCATATGAATTGATAGAAATTAGAGATTAATAGCTGATTTTAAATGAAGATTTGTTATAAGAAGTAAAAAAAATATCAAATTTATTCATCTAATTTATTAATTAATTATTTACCAAAAATTAATCAAATTTCTTTTATTCTTTCTAAATAAAATTCAGCTCAAGTTTATAGCAAAACAATTTGAAACATTTCTCAATATTTAAATTTTTTAAATGTTTAAACAAAATAAAACTTAAAATCATGATTTGTTTATTAAGTCCAAACTTTAATTATTCTTATTATAAATAAGAAAATTGTAGGATTTTTATGCAAGCAAGCAAGCTGATATTTGATATTGTTTGTTAATTAAATAAATTTAGGGGATAAAATAATATTGATTAATTAATTCTTTTGCTTTTTATTTTAGTGCATCAAACTTAAATCATTTAGATTTTAATAAAATATGAAGGTAATATAAATATAATCTCTGTGATTGGCTTGCCAGGAAAAGGGAAGAGCTAGTTTCTAAATAAATTTCTCTCTAGTAAATAAACTAAAAAAGTAAATACAGAAATGAAAGTTAATATTAAGTTAATAATATTTATTGTTTTTACAGTTTTATGAAAGAGATGGAGGAGATCAAGGGACTGAAGGAGCTGTTTTATGGGGTTAGCCTATTTATAATCCCGTTTCAAACACTCACACTTTTTTAATCGATGTATAGGGTATAGATACATTCGAAGAAGTTAATTTAAAACTTTAGCTTTTTATAATGCTTATGAGTGACTAAATAATATTTTATTCAAATTCTGACCTAAGACATGTCATTTATGATGAGATGAGCTTTTTGATCGAATTTGAAAACAAATTAAATTTTCCAATTACTGATTTAAATATCAGCGATTACATGCCTGAATTATACATTATAGCTAAAGAATAGAATTTTAATAGTGAAATGGACCTCTTATTAACATCAGAATTATAAAATTTTGTTAATGATACTGATAAACTTATCTTTGAGGGAGATGTAGTAATAGAATAAATTCTTCACTTCATAAAAGCAAACTCTAATCATCAGCTTCTTAAAATTAAAAATGTAATTTATTTTTTTTATTTAAAAAATGTTAATTTTTTAAGAAAGTTTAAGTAAAATTAATGAATGTGTTTATTTATATAAAACAGATATTGAACTCAGCTTTTAGGGATAAAAAATGCTTTTTATAAAAATTTGGTTTAGATGATTCAATAGAATCTATAGATTAAGCTTAGTTTTTTTCTGTGCCTGATAGAGAATCAAGTGCAAAAAAATCAATGGTCCCAATTAGTAATAATCAAATAAGTAATTTCAATTAAAAAATCTCAGTTTCGAGAGTTACTCCGAGCTTTTAATTGTTGAATTCATAAATGAGTTAAAATATTTAAGGAATAAATACAATGTAAAGCCAATTTGGATAGTAAGTAACAAATATTTAAGGACTTAATACTATTCCAAGCTAATTAGGACAAAAAACTAGCTTTTAAGGATTAAATACAATTCAAAGCTAAATAGGATAAATAAATAATATTTAAGGATAAAATACAATTCAGAATTAATTAACATAAATAACTAAAGGATAAACACAAAAAAATTCTATTTATTTAAATACATCATAATTTAATAATATTGGTAAATTTTAATAAACTTCATTTACCAATTTAAAAGCTAGCAATACAAATGTTTAATCGGTTTTGCCAAGTATATCAAACTTAAATATTAATAAAATGGTAGATTAATTGAACTAAATTAAAACAGATGTTGAATTCTTAAGAAAAATAATTAATCTTCCTTAAAAATATAAAAAATTTAAGAATATTCCAATAAATTCATACACATTCTGCAAGTATTTATTTATTCATTTCATTTAATAAAACTTTTTATTTAATTTTTTTATTTATTTTAGGTATTTAAGCTTGTTAATAGAGCAAATTAATTAAGGAAAATAATAATATTTTGAACCTAGGACAATTGTTTCCTAATCAGTAAATTACGAATTTTAAAGAGTCTTATAAATCCTTGAAAAGGATCATTAAGAAAGAATATAATATTTAGTAAATTTTGATAACTTCTCATCGATGTAGAAGCTCATGCAAAGTTTGTTCTCTATAAGAAATTCTATCATAGAGCAATTTAATGCAAGTATGCATAGATTTGTATCAGACAGTTATTTTAAAGAAATATATTAAATATATTTTTAAAATCTCAAAAAAACTCTTGATTTTAGAGAAGAGCAAGTTTTTAAGCTATTCTAAAATATTTCTTACGGGTAAATTATTTTACTGTTTAAAATACTTTGAAAAAAATATATTTAAATCATTTTATAGTTATTTAAGAATTCAATTAATTTGCTTAAAAATAACTAAAATTCTTTAAAATTTTATAATTCTAAATTTAAAAGTATATTTAAAGTGCTCAATAATTGATATAAAAAATCAGCTAATAAAAATATATTTTTTAATAAAAGTATTAATGAAAAGTGGAGAATAAATAGACTAGAAGAGCTGGATCAGCAGCTGCAAGAGAAATCAAAGCTGGTTAATACATTAGAAAATAATAATTAGTACATAAAAATTTAATAGGACTTCAAAGATCTCATTTAAATGTATTGCAAAGATATTTTATAATAAAACAATGATATAGATGGTCTTTCTAAGGTATTTATATTTTAAAAATTTTGTGTCTAAGACTTAGGAAGATACTTCTAAATGTTTGCTAACTTGTACGATAAATCCTATTAAGAAAAGCAGCTGTAAATAATTGAAAAAGATTCCCATAAAAAATTGTTTGAAATATTCTTTAAAAGATTCGAAATTATCAAATAAAAAGTATCTCTTTTTTTCTCTAATTCACATTTTCAAGATTAAACTAATGAATTAATTTAATTTATTTTTAGACCAAATTGTTAGATGATGTACTTAAGAATCTTGAGAAGGAAAACGAAAATTAAAGAGAATTAGTAAAAGCGCTTGATGATAAGTTTATTAAATCCTATGAGAAAGATAAAGCGATTAACGACAGAAAAACAGCATTGTATCAGAAACTTCTTGAAAAAGAAGATTAATTAAAAGTGAGAGAATATTATTTTTTATTTGCATTCAATGTAAAGCTTAATTATTAAATTATCAAAACAGATTATAACAAAGAAGAAAAATAGAATTAGGACAGACTCTTTCAGTAAAAGCTAAAATATTTTTTCATCAAGAACTATCACAGAAATGAAAAACCAAGACACCACAAATGCATAAAAATTAAATATTTCAAATTTAGATTAAAATAATACATTAAAATCAACTTATGAAAAGTAAGAAAGCTAAACGTTTATACGTGTTGTAAATAAACTATAATCTAATTGGCTCATCAATCTTTTCAGAAATGTTTGCAATCAATTTGTAATAATTCATTTCTGATCAGGTTCAGCTAATTTTAAAATATTATCATCCTATTTTGCTCAATATTTTTGAATTATAATTATTTATTTATTTAAAACATTTTAAACATTTAAACAAACAATTTATCAATAAAAGAAACATATTTCATAAATTAGTGAGTGTAATTACTGTTTAAAAATTTGTAAGATTATATCAAAATATTCTTAATTATATGTTTATTTTAAATAAACTAGCTTATTCAACTTATTAATATATATGCCTCACTTAATTGATATATATAAAAAAATAAAATATAGATTTTTATTTTATTTTACAAACCAACTAATATTGTCTACATTAATATCTGAAATATTATTATTATAAGTAAATGTGATAATTTACCTTAAATAAAAAAATTATTTAATCATAAAGTACATCCATCCTAAATGATTTTTTTTTAAGTATATACCTTTTTTTATATTAGTATAAGAATATTTAAAACCTGAAAATAAAGAATTAGTTTAAATGATTTATTTGTTTAATAAATAAATTAATTAGTGATATTTATGTTTAGATTTTTAAATAAAATAACAAAATATAAAATTTTACAATTTATAAAATAATTTATTTCAAAATAATTCAATTTATTTAATTAAATTGTTTTATTTTTGTATTTAGTGGTATTTACTTAATTTTTAAAAAAATACCTATTCATTTTAAATGTAATCAAATTTCTATTTATTATTTATCCTAAGCCTTAAGGATTTCCATAAGATAATTGCAGATTACTTTTTTGGAGGCTACTATACTTTTTAATATTTAATTATTAATTTTTATAAAATTATTTTAATTTTATCTCTAAGCATCCAAAAGTAAAAGAAAACTATAATAAATGTTATATTTAATATAAAGAATGTAATAAACGTCCTCTCCTAATTTTCATATTAGCCCAAATTACTAATCATACCAAAGTTAATTGTTATTAATATCGAAAAAAATATGTCCAAATAATTGTAGTAAAGCCTCTTATAAGGATAAACTAATTTTAAATAATTTAAATATTTTAAATGTAAAATTATAAATAATAAAATTACAATATAGCTATGACAGAGTTAAAGAAAGATACAAAGCACATAGTATCGAACCCTTCAATTAAATAGATAGATAGAAAAAATTATCTATAATAATTACAAGTAATTTCATCCCTATTATGTAAAATTACCACCAAAAGCGTTTGTAGAAATAGCTAAAAATGCTTGTTATCTATTTTTTTTTTCTGGTTATTTAATTTTCTTTAATCAGAAGCAAAAAAACGAAAATTATAAACATGATCTAAAAACATAAGCAAGGAATTAGCAGAGACTTCATTAATAGGACATGTTAGTTATCACATTCAATATTTGGAAATTAGTTAACATACAACTTATCTTCTACTGAGTCACAAAACATCTTTATTTATTTTTTAGACAGAAATAAATTAAAATTAATTTAGAAACTAAGAATTAATTAATTACCATCTTTAAAGTTGAATCTATTGAATAAGTATATAAATGAATGGTAAAGTAAATCAAAACAGAGAAGCATACTAAAGTTTCTTTTTTTTTCAATATTTTAAAGCAAACCAAAGAAATTATGCAAATCAACAAATTCAATATCAATAGAATAACTATCCTAAAATAAAAGTAAAGTATATTATCGTCATTGAATAAACTAATTTAAGAAAATATGCAGTCAAATAACTTTAGAACAATTTCAGATGGATTTCCCAGACCTTTTAAAATTTACTTGAACCATACAGGTAAATAAATCATATTATTCATACAGACTGTTAATTGAGCAGTATAATTTAATAGAATATTCATAATTATAAAAAACCTCTCATCAAATCTAAAATGAATCTTTAAAACTTCAAATATTTTTTTAATCTTTAAATAATCCATTAGTTAACATATTTTTTTAGCCATGCATATAAACAATATAATATTTATTAGTAATATTATACAATCTACTGCTTTACTAGCATTGAATTCTCCACACCTTTTCAATTCAAAAATATTAAATAAAGTTTAAAAATTATTTTTTTATTTACTTTGTGCAAGTGTAAATAGCTGATTGATAAAATCTTTGATTCCAATATTTACCAAATAAATCGCAGTCCATGCATAATGGGCCAATATTTCCTAATTTTTTATTAAATTTTATTGATAAAAGGAATATGGATAAACTCTTTTTACCTTCAATACAATATCGGTTTACATCTGAATATTTGTTGAATTCAAATTATCTATCAATATCTCCAACACATTAGAAATATCCATAACATCCGATAAAGTTATAACTATTATTTTAGGATCTCCACATACCTTAAGGCAAGTAAATATTTTTATTTTCACATATGAATTCCTATGGACATTTATAACATTTATCTCCATCATTTAAATTAAACATAAATTGTGGGCAGTTATTACATTTATCTTTTTTTAAATAATCACTAAAATGTTATGTGCCTTAAGGACACTTTTAAACTATATTTATTACTATTTCAAAAAATATATCAGTTTCTATTTTAATCACCTCACCATCTAGTCCATAAACAGGGTACTTAGCATATTCTGAGTAGATAAGCAACTTTATTCTTTTTCCTAGTCTTCCAAAAACTTAAATTTTATCTGTTATATTAAATATACCACTTCTCTATGAGATTGATTATTAATTAATATAATAATCCTCACCTTAAACTACAATATTTAAAGTAATTTCTTTGTTAAGAATTGTTATTGGCTAATCTTCACTATTTACTAATTGTAATAAAATCTCATCCTAATTTTATAAAATTTATTTTATTTATTTTTCTAATTTACTGTAAAAATTCTTAGTTATTATGATAAAATAAATATAAATATTTTTTATAAATATAAGAAATTTTTGACATTTTCAAAAATTAACCTTTAAAAAAGTTTTAATATCTTAATGAAGATATACAGTAAATTAAAATATTATTGAAATTAATTATTAGAATATAAAAAAATTTAAATGTAATACCTGAAAATATCCACTTATGTGTTTGTCTATATTCATTGAATTTTTGAGAACTTATTTATTCTTTATTCCAATAAAATTAACTGCAAACTAAAGAAGGTTGTTGTTATAAAGTTTTGCTTTATTTCCTTTTAGTTAATTGTTGTACTATTAATATATAGGAAGATTTTATATTTAATAAAAGCTACTCCCTATTTTCGCTACATTATTTAAAAAGATATTTTTAATTAAATGAATTTTTTAGATTTAATCTGACTTAATATTCAAATCGGATACAACAGCACCTCCATAGCCTGCTGCATTGTTTTCTTAAAACAAGCATCTAATTAAGTAAAATATAGAATCAGAAACTAAAATAGAACCTCCGTTGTTTAAAGCAGAGTTATTTATAAATGTAGTATTGTAGATAGTTTAATTTTAATCAGATCTTCTAATGATATATTCTTAATTAAAATTAATTGGTAGGAATCTAAAGTTATTTCCTTATATTATGGTTTAAAATTGTTAAGAAATAGAAAGAGCTCCTCCATTATAAGCAGTGTTTAACTTTAAAACACTATCAATTATTAGTATATGATTTGAAACAGCTCTTATATTTCCTTATAAGCATCTGACACAAGTATTATTTTGATATGTTAACTGGTTAATTTTTATTGAATTTGAAAAAATATAAACAAATGAATCTAAATCATCATTTGGCTTATTAAGTGTAAATTATTAATTATCGTTTATTGAATCAAGAAACATTTAAAAACTGCCAATATATGATAAGCGAATTAAGTGCTTATTTGATGTAAATTAATTTATTCTATTTTAAATTAATGACAATTAATTTATGTTTTCAAAGAAAAGTAAACCTTGAAAAATTAGCTATATTTTATCATCAACTTAATTTATATTAGGAGCTTTTTCTGCTGTGTAATTATTTTGTAACAAATGCACCTAATAAAAACCTTATAAATAGAAAAGACTGGGAGAATTATAAATTGGAAGCACAATTTTTTCTATCTAGCTCATTAATTTTTGTATAAATTCATATTAATATAAAGTCTAAGTTTATTAGATCATAATAATGTTTTGCATAAATTACTAACTAGAATAAAAGTTACTTCCTTCTTATGAATAGTTATTTATGAATTGTGATTTTTACAAATTCAAGTAAAATTTTCTCTTGTTTGGAGAAACATACAAGGCTCCTCCTCTTAAATAAGCAAAATTATTTTAAAAAAGGCATTAGACAATATTGATGGTTACTCCATAATTATATTGAACTTGGTTAATATAAATTGCACCTCCATTTGAGTTTTTAGGATCTTTTTATGAAAAACTCCAATTTTCTGTAAAATTGGTCTAAGAAATATAAATGCTTGCCATCTCTAAAGCTTACCAGTAAATTCCTCCTCCCTGAAGAGATAACCCACCGCTAAATAAAGAGCTTTAAATTTTAAGTTCTCTGCATTGTATTTAAGCTAAGCCCCCTAAAATGGGGCTTCCAGCTAACTGTAATTTATTATAGTTATTCGATTTAATGACAAAATTAGATGATTATATCGAAACTGAGATTGCCTGAATATAAAATAGATTATGGTTAGGATGATTATCGGCATTTGTCAAATAAGCGTTAGTAATTTCAATCTAGCCTAATGGGTTCTTACAATTAATCACAGAAGATAAAAAGTTATCTGACTATTGAAATATAAAAATAGTTTAATATAATTTTATAAAAATATAACATACTTGACTTTCTATTGCAGGTTAGTTGACATTCAAAGCCTGTATTAAATTGAATTTAGCGATTCCATAAGACAAAGAGATCTAGGCAGCACTAAATATGTGAATGTTGAGCTTAACACTTGCTTATTTTCTTAAAACTATCTAATTAAAATTTATGATGCTAAATATTGCTTTGAATGCTGATAGGTTAAGGTTGTTTGTAGCTAATTAACTGACAATGAGTAGTATCTCATCTGCAATAATTTAGTTAAATGTAACATTTTTTAATTATACTTAATAAATTATATCTTGAATATTAATTAAATTTTGTGAAGAGCTTGAGATTAATTTATTTCCAAAACTCAAAGACTAAACAGATACTTTATTCACACTAGTTACTTGAATGAAAGTTATTAATTCCTTTTCATCAACTATACCATTATTTAAAATGAGAGAGTTGATCTATTTAAATTTGAATAAATATAAATTATAATTTTAGCTGTAAGTGTTTTGTGAAATGTTAAAATTAGTTATATTCACATCAGTTTTGAATCTACCATTTTAGTAAAAAAATATCTATTCATAGCTGCTTATTGTATTGTTAAATAATAAAAATTAATTAAGATTTATAGAAGTTTAATCTATAAAGTCTTATATAGGAGAAAATTAAATAATATGTGTTTTCTCAAAGATATTTGACTGTATTGTGACATTATTTGCATTAATTGTATTGACACTAAACAAAGAATTTTTTATCTTTTTATTTAGATTTAACTTGCTAGTTGAGTTAATAAATATAAAGTCTTGAAGATAAAAGTAATTAAATCTCTCCCCAATCAATATTTAAGATTGAGTTAAAATTGTAGTGTTCTGAAAATAAAAGTGTGTTATATTGAGAGTGCTAGTCAAGTCATCACCTTAGAAGTTATTTGAGAAAATCTATGATTGATTCTCTAAAACTCCATGCTAAAATGTGAAATTATAAATCTCCAAAGTGCTTCGACTGCTTATTGATATGAACTTAGATTTTGATAAGAAATCTGAATATAATATTGATACATTCGTGAGGTTATATGTCAAATATGTTGTTATAAACGATGAGAAAACGTTTATAAGTGTTTATTATTAAAAACTACAATTTCTCAAATACGTATTATTCATTAAAAAAGTGCCATTAAAATTTTAAAAACTTAGTTACAGCTAATTATAAAATTAGCGTTAACATGTGAATTTAACATTCTAGAATTCAATATATTTTAAATATTCATCCTCAACATTAAAACCAAATTAACTATCTAAATTTTTTGGTATCAGATTAAAATTTTAAATCTTGAAAAAGCTAAATCCTCTAAAAATTGCAATATTTTATTAATAAAGAATATAATCGGATTATTAATCGTTCTGAAAGGCATTTAATGTTATAGAAATATTTTATACTGATGGAATCTTATCTTTTAATTTTGTAGTAAAATTTAAAGCATTTATCTAAGTGCAATTTCTAGAAGGATCAACAAAATTAATTATAAAATTAATATATCTCAGCTAAAGTTCATTATAATAAACCAACGCCATATCAAAATCGGACTCATTAATAATTAATTGATCTAAATCAGTTGTTTTAACTTTATATAAATTGTATGGCTCATCAATAGTACCTTTACCAAAAGGTTCATTCGCAGTACCACAAATAGCAAAAATCTCTGTTTTTTTCTTGAAATAGCATCCATTGTCTTCTTTTAAGCAGTAAATGCATCTTTTCCTAAATTTATCATATCTTATTTCATATTTTTGCATTTCTGGTTAAGTATTAGGCAGTTATTACTTACAAGAATAACAGTTAATTTTGTATAAGTTCAATGGATCTGAAGCAAGGTTAATTTAGTTATCTTCACATGTTTCACAACTAATATAATTAATATAAAATTTATTTAAATTTTATTAAGATAAAATGTAATGTTGAAATTAAGAATGAGTTTAAAGATAATTAAATTTAATGTAAAAAATTTCAAAAATTAGAATTTTAAAATCTTTTTATTTATTTAAATAAATATAGCTAATTTTGAATTAATTATAAATTAAAAAGTTTTTACTTTAACAGAGTTGATATTTATTTTACACAATATTTAAATAAAAAGTTTGAAAATATTTAATAATAAAAAAACTAAAAGAAAGAATAATAAATAATTTTACAGAAGAGGACATATTTAGCAATTCTTTTATTCAGAATTAAAAGTTACCATTTACTAGAAGTTATTTAAATAATTAGTACCAAAATGAAGTTAAGATATAAAACTTTAAATTGGTTCTATTAGCTAAAAAAGCTTATTGTAATTGCAAGATAAACATAAAGGGATATCATTTTAATTTATGCAATTTTAACAATAATTCCCACATTAAGGAGTTAAACAATATTATTATGTAAAGTCAATAGTATAGCCATAATAACATTCTATACATTTCATCTTAATATTAAAAATACTTTTGTAATTTAGTCTCTGGCTTAAATTAAGATTCAGTGTACCTTAAGGATTATTGATAAGATAATCAGTGAAATTAATTCTTTTATTGTCAATATATCCCTCTTCGTAGCATTTTAAACAACCTGGTTGGCAAGGTAAACAACCAAAAATACTTGGTATTTACCCATTGATCTTGCATTTTTTACATTAGTAAATCTATAAATCTGTATAGCACTCTTCGCATTAATAAATCTGAATTTATTTAAAAAATTAAAAAGAAAATGTCTACTCAGTTATACGTTTTTAAAATAATTAATTTACTTAATTTTTACATTTATTATTTTAATCACAAGCTAGATAGGAGTTAATTTAAGCAGATACACCATTTTAACAATAATTTATTGTAGTTTTTTCATAATCATTTTCTAACTTTTAACAATTAAATATTGTATTTATATAAAAAAAGTCAAAAAAATAACTCCTTTTAATACAAACATTTTGATATGAGCATGTATTTTCTTTACACTTTAAGCATTAATAATTATTTTCAGCATTAAAAATATCTAGATAAGTCTATAGAGATTAACCTGAATTCTTATCATATATTCCTTATTCATAACAAAGTTGTAGAACTTATGGTATTATGCAGTCTTTTTCTATAAATTTGGTTCAATATTATTTAATTTCTTTAAAAAATAATTACTGTTTGCAGACAACTAATAACCTTATAAACATTTGATGCATTTAAAAAACTAATATTCTTATTTAAAGTTTTATTTTCTATAATTTAAAAGATTTCCTGACATTTCTAATAATTTAATTTAAATTAAATTCATGGTTTTTTTAAAATTAAATATACCGAATGCGCACTCAAGACAATTAAAGCCACACTAAATACATTAACTGAAATCATGAGATATTGCATATTAAGCAATACATTACACACAAGCAAATACTGCACCAGAAAAAGAATATTTCTGATCATCTAGCAATTCTTTTGGAATATCTTCAATTAAAATTGGTTAGTTTTACTCATTAAAAATAACTTTTCCACACTTTAAACAATTCAGAGGGCATTTTTAACATTTACCCTATTCATCACTATAATACCTGTCAATACATTTATAGCAATATATTGGTTTTTTAGGGTCTGACTCACATCTTAAACATGTTTATTCACCTAAATTAATTAAAAATAAGTATAATGTATTGATTTAAATATTAAAATAATACAAGAAAATGGAGAGCTATTTTTGTATTCAACCATGAAATTAACTGGTAATCTTTTTGCTTAACTCTCACTTATATTTGCAGAAATTCCACTTGAAACAACATAATACAATAAATTAGAATAGTTTTTAGTAAATCTATAGTTTCCAATAAATTTAACTACCATCTTAGCACAGTTTTTTTTTAGTTATTTTTTTAATTACCTAAATTAAATTGATAAAAAATTATTAAGTTGTTAAGATTTAAAGTAATTTACCAGTCTTGTTCCTGAAGATTGCATTCTATACATTTAAAAAACTCATTACCATATTTTTATAATTAGGGGTCTTAGTTTAAATTATTGTAAAATTGAGTGTCACACTTAACACACACTTGATATTATGTATCTTTATCATAATACAAGAAATAATCATCAATGCACTAAGTGCACATATTAGGACCTTCACATTTTTAGCATCTTAATTAAATTAAAAGTTTTTGAATATGAGCTGATAATTAATTTTGTTAAATAATTTGAACTTTTCCTTTTTCAAAAAACATCTAATTGATTTTTAGACAATGAATTGATTTTGATACCAATAATAAAAATAATTTAATTTAAATAATTTAGAAGTTTCATAAAAATTATTATAATTTACACAAAAATAAATGATTAAATCTTCAAAGTATTTTTAATTGAATTAATTTTAATATTATAATTAAATAAAAAAAGATAAAAAATAAATTAATTAATAAGTAAGTTACCCTTCTGGACATTTTTAACTATTATTTGAGCAATCACTGTTAGGAAAGCAGTCTTCTGAAGAATATTAAATATCCAGATTAAAGAAGGGATATTAGTTATCATTTTTTTTCTGATAGCAAAACCCGTCACCTGGATTGTAATAATACTTAGGACAAAAAAAGCACTGTTTTGATGATTTTTCATCTGCAAGAGAAATACAAAAATGGTTTTTATTTATGCAAAGATTTTCTTAGTATTTATTAACTGAATTTATATCCTACAAAAAGCATTATTGGTCTTATCTAGGCTAGTAAAGACAATTGGCTTTAGAATAATTGTTAGGAATAAACTAATAATATATGCATCTATTCATTCTCTAATTTAAACAATATTTTTCTGGACACACAGAACAGGAGTAGCTATAAATTGATTAGCAAGACCCTAATTATTTATCATAATTTAAAAAAATTATTTATTTTTATTTAAATATAAATTACCATTTGCATCTTGACAATATTAATTTTCAAGGTTTATACATTTTTCTGATTAAAGGCACTAGGAAAACGGGCAATTTTTGCACTTTTTAGATTAATCAGAGGCTTAAACACATTCACCATTATCGTCAGAGCAAATAATATCATTATGTACCTTTGTACAAGCCTACACTCCTTTCTCATCTTTTTTAATACAGTATTAGCCCTTAAAGCATTTTTCCTTTTTAGAATATTTTTTGTAAGTTTAAGTTATAAAAAAAAAAAAAATTAGTTTTACAATTTCAGTTTTTGTGCTATAATCATCTTCTTTTACACATTTCTAAGATATCTTATACCTACCTAAATTATTTTAAAATTAATTATTTTTTGTAGATAAAAAAAATTTACCAACTTATGAACTTATTTTATAATCGATTTAAACGCAAAATTGCTCATTTTCTTCATCAGACTTTCCAATCAAGCAAAAGCTTATTAATTAATCAAATTTAAATCTTTTAATATTTTTATGAAATCAAATGAAATAAATTAAAAATACATTTCAAAACAACTTCCTGCTCCAAATATTCCTTTTTCATTTTCTTAAAGACATTTACTTGTTTTATTTTCCCTTCCTGGATACTCAAACGATAAAGGAATGCATCTCTAATTAAGCTAACAGTATTACTAAGCACAATATATTGACTGATCAGTATAAGCCGACTAGCAAAGTTAAGTGCTGCTCCTGGCTATGTTTATTTTTGAGTCTAAAGGAACACATTAACCCAATTTAGAAATACAATAAAAACCATCAACACAACTTATTGTTTTATCTTATAAAATAATAAAATTAAAAATTAAAGAGATTTGAAATTCATGTACCTTATTATAATTTTTAACAGTAACCATTCGCATTCTTTGCTGGAACTTGAAAACCTTTAAATTAAGTGCTTTCTAATTATAAAAGATGGCATAGGTACTGTTTCTATTTTGATCTTTATAATTTTTTAAATAAAATTTCAAATTACAGTCAAATTAAATTTACTTTGATGGGATTTAAAATATGCAATAATTCATATCTGCACACTAATCAATTCCTTATTAATTAAATCAAATTAAAATTTTAAAAATTCTTTATTTACCTAAAATTATTTTTTTAATTGATTTATTAATTTCTTTAAATCATACATTTTCCAAAAATATTTTAAATTATTTATTCTAATAATTTTTAAGAATTGTAAATATTTTATTTTTAAATTTTATTTACCAATTGTCGAAATTTAATATGAGGTAAGACACCTCTAAGTACTTTTTTCTACGCCAATATATTGTAAGCTCTAAATAAATGAACCTAACTAAATACAGTATCTCTAATTTATTTTCATTTAAAGAATACAAAAACCATATGGGCAATTTTTAATTTTTTATCCTTTTTCTTCTGTTAATTAATAGGGAAGACAAGCTGTAGTTCCTTATTCTTTAGCAAAATTAGGAAGACTTTTATCATAAGTCATATCAACGCACTTTTTTCCTAATAGACACTAGTTAGTTTTCTTACATATTTTACTTTTATTTAAATTTTTTTTTTTTTTAAATTAAAATCAATTTATAATACCTTGTAGGTGTTGGTTAGCAGTATCCATCATCATCTTGTGCAGCTGTTTAATTACTAAATGTTATTTCAGTGCATTCATATGTATAATATATCAAATCATTAAATTTATTATAAACTGGCATTTTTAGAATGCATAGACCCTCAGCACAAGTTAGCTTTTGATTATCTTACTCTATTTTATAATTGCACTATTATAATAAGAAAAATAAACAAATAAAATTTACATAAATTAATTTCAATCAATTTTTAATTTGCTCTAATACATTTTCCAATGTTATTGTCATATTAATTAAGAATTGCTCCCTATTAATAATGAAAATAAATTAAATTATTTATCGCATTTAAATTTGATACAGAAGCATTCGTATTTTAAATAGTGATAATTTCACATGATTATTAACCATCTTCCTCTAAAATACAAGTTGTGTTAGCTTCTCTAGAATAAAAACACTCTTTAAAATCTGTATTTGAATTTCCTGAGCAAGTATCATCTGACATTTTTGAAATATATTAGAAATCATCCATTAACACGCAAGAGTTATTGGAGATGCAAAATCTATTTGAAAGATATTTTAATTAATTAAAAAGGAATTTATTAATTTTACCCAAATATACACATTTCCACCAAATTATTTTTATCTGAATACACTTAATTTTCTTACACACACATAAATTATTATGTTCTGCCAACCACTAATTTATTTTAATCTTTTATTCGTACAACTTATGAGGATTAAAAAAGGCAATAATCTTTTTTCAAGGAAACCAAATCTTATTTATTATTTTTAAAATATATTTTTAGAATAAAAACTAAAAAGTTTTTTAATACTTTCATCAATTTATAATTTTTAATATGAATCTTGTAAAATGCATTCATTATTTCCATTAATTAGTGCTATTCCAATTACATTTTCAGCTTCTTCTTACAATACGCACTTGCTTTTTTAATTATTAGGATCTTTTATCAAGCAAATGCTCTTATCTAAATAACAACTCTAGATCTACCCTTCTTAATTAATTGATAAACATAATTAATTGGTATCTCTTGCTATATTATCTTTAGAATCCATAGAAATGCAAGAATCGCTTTCAAGACAAAATCTAATTAATTAATTTATTTATTTGTTTTTATTTTTTTTCAATTAATAGATTAATTGTTTACTATGGTTTGCAACTACATTTCATGCTATTAATTCTCTAGCTTAACTTTTCTAGTGAATAATCATCTTGAATGCAGTATTAAGATTTTAGCTTGATCAGACCTATTAAAAGTATTAATAAATTCATACTTAATAAAAGATTATTAATCTTAAGTTTACTTAATGGAGATGCTAATATCAATTAATTTACATCTTATTTTTCAATACATATTAAATCCCCTATTTAGTTTTAATATATACCAATGTAGTTATCATCAATATCATTGCTTATTGTCACACACATTGTATTTAAGCTATTTTTACATACTGTACTTACCTAGTTTATTTACTTATCAAAGCATTTATCAACTTTGCTGGTTATTTCTCGATCATATAAGCACTTTTGATTTTAAGAGTCTCTGCCAACTATATCAAATGAAAACATAATGCATTTATTTACAGTTTCTGAAAAACACTCGTTATCACTACAATCCTCAGCGTAAATTTATTTTACCAAAAAAAGGTAAAATATGCAATACCTTTTCATTTAAATCTACATAATTTTTAAAGCTTTTTTTAATCTTTTTTATTTTTTTTTAATTTACTTTAAAACAACTTCTTCAATATTAAGTTCAGAAAAAAATTTATTATTAATTCCATTCAAAAATTTGTGTACACCATCTAAATAAAAACAAAGTAAACTAAATTCTGAAATAAATAAATAATTTACTCGTATAAATGTTATTACAATTAATCATGTTTCCCTTAATTAATTATTTATTAGACTCTCCTAATTTTAAATTTATCTTTACATGTACATTTGAGATAATTTATTAAAATAATAATTACATTTACAATGTTAATTTATATAATTTAATTATATATTTTATTTAATCTATCACCAATATTAATTAATTTAATTTACTATTTAACTAAACAACTATTTATCTTGTAAATTTCCCCAATATTTTCTGACACTATTTTTTGTAAAGGGAGAGTTATATTTTTATTTAAAAAATTAACAAAACTCTAAAAATATTGATGGATTCTAAACTATAGATTTAGGAAAATTATCAAACTCAATCATAAATTCAAATTAAAAATCAAAATATTTAATATTATATCTATTTTTTCTTTTTATGAAAAATAATTGAGAGATTAAAATTTTAAAATGACTTATTATTAATTTTACTTTTAAATTGATTTAATTTTATCTAATAGAAAATTTTTTTTATTAAAATTTGATAAAATTTATGATATTCAAAGTAAGACATACAGATGTCTCTGAAAAAATAAAATACATATCTATATTGCAATTTTTATATCTTAGATCTTTTGGTATTTATAAAAATATTTACTAAATTTAAGTCTTTGCTACTACCATCTAGAAGTGTCCTGGGTTGATAAAACAATAGATATAGATAAAAACACATTATATATAATCTTATAAGAATTTAAGAATATAATGTGAATTAGAATTTAATTAAGTTAAAAAATATATCTATAATTTATATTCTATTTTATTGCTTAGTTTATATATTTCTATGTCAATTATTAATAATAATAATTTTTGAAAAATTAAAAATTTATTTTAAATAAATTAAAAGTATACATTTTAATAAATTTGGTGAGTAAAAGAAATATATATTTTTAAATATAAAATAAAACATTTATTTCGTTTTATTTTTAAACAGTATAAAAAGTAGAATTGCTTGTTTGATTAATTCACTTTTATAAATTTGTAAGAAGAGTATTTTGTTTTGAAATGTATTTTGAGATGTTCCAATAAAATAATTTTTCATTGTTATTATCAATCAATATCTATCTACTGAATATTCTTAACCTTAAATATTTCCACAAAAGGATGGGAGATTACTTTTTTTTAGCATTAATATTATTCTTCCTAATTTTACTTACAATTTTAAAAATTTTTAATTTAAAATCATCTATAATTGCCCAATAGATCAATCCGATAGCACATGATATATTCAAAGTTAAAAATGCAACAAAAATTCTTTCTTGATTGAAAAACTAGTTCAGATTTTCAATCATTCCAAAATTAATAGTTATTAAAATAGAAATAAAAATATCAAAGTAATTAAACTAGAGTCTAGTGTAAGGTTTAACTATTATATAATTTAAGAATATAGTTTAAAATTTAAATTTAAATTATTTTACAGTATAGTTGTGTGAGAGTGTATGACAAATACAATGAGCATAATACTGAGCCTTTTAAATATACATCGAAAAAGAAGTAATTATCTATAGCTATAACAAGCAGTCTTATCAATATTTAGTAAAAATACCACCAAAAATGCTTATAGAATTAGTTAAATATGCTTGAAATTTTCCTGGAATTAGTTTTATTTTGATTTTCTCTAATAATGTAGAGAAAAACTAAAAAAATAAAGAGCAGTTAAAAACAAAGACAAGGTATTAGCATTTTTTTAACAAAAGTTAAATGGTCTTCATCACATTTAATACTAGGATATTAGTTTATATAAAATTAGTCATCTACTTTCACACAAAATATCTTTTTTAATATTAATTTTAATTAAAAAATATTAAAAAGAAAATTAATTAATTAATTACCATTCCTAAAGTTGAATCTATTGTATGAGTAAATAAATGAATGATGAAATATATTAGTACTGAGGTATGAACTAAAAGGTCCTTCTTTTTTAAAATTCTAAAGCAAAGCAGTGTAAACAAACAAATTAAAAAGTTAAATATCAACAGAATGACTACTCTAAAATAGAAGTAAGAATAGTTATTTTCTTAAAACAAAATAATCTAAGATAAAACACAGTCAAATAGTTTTAGGAAGATTTCAGATGGATTTCCAAAACCTAGAAAAATCTGCTTTATATATATTGGCAAGTAAATCATATTTTTTGTACACAATGATAGTTGAGTAAAGTAATTAAGTAAAATGCTAGAAATTACAAAAAATCTTTAATCATATTTAAAATATATTTTCAAAACTTGAAATACTTTTTAAATCTTTAAATAATCCATTAGCATAAAAATAGACTTTGCAATTTTAGCAAGCAAAGCTATACTAAGCAGAAGTACTATGATATCAATCATTAAGTTAGTATTGAATTATCCACATCTAATTATTTATATATTTTTATTAAAAAATTTATTTTTAGAAACTTTAATTATTTTACTTTAAACAAGTGTAAGTAGCAACTTGATAATACCTTTCATTCCAATATTTTCCATATAAATCACAATCCATGCACAAGGCTCCAATATTTCCTTTATTGTTAAAATTTAATTTTTAGAAATTAATTTTAAATTTTTAATTAAAACTAATACCTTCTTTACAATAACGATTTTCATCAGAAAACTATTCTGTTATTTCTTCTCTATCAATATCTCCTACACACTAAAAATAACCATAACATTCGATGTAAGTATAGCTATTATTCTTTGATCTCCACAATCCTCTAGGTAAATAAATGCTTGTCTTTTAACATAAAAAATCATCTGGACATTTATGACATTTATCACCATCATTTAAATTATACATAAATTAAGGACAGGGATTACATAAATCCTTTTTTATAGTATCATTAAAATAAGTTGTACCTACAGGGCATTTTTCAACTATGTTTATTTCTATTTCAAAGGAGATATTAGTTTCTATTTTAGATAATTCGCCATCTAATTTGTAAATAGGAGACTTTGCATACTCAGAAGATATTTATAATATTATTTGTTTTCCAAGCCTTCCAAAAACATTTATTTTATCTAATATTTCAAATACACCACTTTTTTATGATATATAATATTAATCAATATAATAATCTTCTCCTTTTAAGACTTAAACATTTAATTTAATTTCTTCGTTGAGAGTTGTTATAGGCTAATCTTCGTTATTAACCAATTACAGAATAATGCTATCCTATTTATGAATTAAGAGAATTAAATTTTACTTATGTAAAAATAAATACTTTTTCAAAATTTATAAGAAAAAATATTAAATAAATAATTAATTAGTAAAATTATAAATTAGTTTATTTGTAGCTTTTTAGCTCATCAAAATATTGTTTTCATTTTATTTTATGATAAGGATATCTAGTAAATATGATGTAAATAAATTTAGATTGTATTTTTTTACCTTAAATTTTCCACTCAAATGCTTATCTATTGATAAAGAGTTTCTGTAAGTTTATTTGCCCTTTATTCCTAAAATTTGAACAGCAAATTAGATTAGATTATTATTGTATAGTTATGCTTTGTTTTAAGAGAGCTTATTATCTAAATGCTAGTGTAGTGGCAGATTCTACATCTGATAAAAACTGCTTCCAATTCTGGCTTTATTACTTTAAAAAGTATTTTTTATTAAATGGATCTTTTAGAATTGATCAAATTTATCATTAAGGTCAGATACTATTGCCCCTCCAAATTAATTTGCATTATTTTCTTAGAATCTGCTTTTTATTATGTATAAAAAAGTATTTGATGCTATGATTGATCCTCCATTATTCAAAGCAGTATTATTGAAAAATGTTGAATTATAAATTGTTTAATTTTAATTTGATTTTCTAATTAAATATTCTTCATAATAAGTATTAAAATGTAAAAATCTAAGTTTATTTGTCATTATTTCATCTTTTATATATTTTGAAATTGAAAGAGCTCCTCCATTTAGAGCAGTATTCGATTGAAAAGTACTATCAGCTATTAAAATGTGATTAGAAATTAGCCTCAAATTTCCTTAAACACATTTACTGCAAGTATTGTTTATGTAAATAATTTACTCCAGTTTAATAGAATTTGCTTAAACTATTATTAATGAATTTGCTATAAATTGATTTGGATTATAAATAAATTATTTATTATCAAAAAATTAATCTTATAACAAGCTTAAGTTTTCTATATTAGTCATTTTAAGTAAGTAATTTTATACTTTAAAATTACTTATTTTATTTTAAGCAAGTTGAAGATAATTAATCGAATCAAAGATAATTAAACTTTAAAAGATAAACGAAAACTCGTTTTCTTTAGAATTTAGCTATATACTTGTTGTTTCAACTATAAATGTATTTTAGAATAAGTAAACCTGATTAAAACCTTACAAGTGATAGAGACTTGGAGAAAAGCTTAATGGTTTTTCAAATTATTCAATTTTCTATATAAAATCTGAGATATACTTATAGGAATATAAATTATAAGTTTGCTATATCTACACTATATTTGTAAGGTTTTTCTAAGAGGAATATAAGCTACTTCCATCTGATGAAAAATTATTTGTAAAGTTTGATAACAGCAAATTCAAATAAAATTTATTATAACTCAAAGACACATACAAAGCTCCTCCTTTGTTATAAGCAAAATTATTAGAAAAGAGACATTAAATAAATCTAAGGGTTACACCTACATTTTATTGAATTTAATTAATGTAAATAGCTCCTCCATTAGAGTTTTTAGGATCGCTTAAAGAAAAACTCCAATTCTCTATGAAATTTGTTTAATATATATAAATATTAGCAAGTGATATAGCTTATATGTATAAACCTCCTCCTTAAAGTGACAATCCACCACTAAAGCTACTGCTTAATATTTTTAAAGTTGAACATTGTATCATTGCTATACCTCCTAGAATACTATTACTACCACTTAAAAACTATAATTTTTGTTAATTATTTGCAAGTATTGTAAAATTTGAATTCTGTATCTAAATTTAGCTTCCTTAGATATAAAGAAGATTATGGTTAGGATGATTCTAGGCATTTATTATTCTTGAATTTATTATTTCTAATTTCCCAATTACATTTTTCAGGTTAATTACAGTGGAAAAAAAGGAATCAGTCTTTTTTAATATTAAAAAGTGTAAAAATAAATTTTTATTGGTTTTAAATTAAATTTTACTTAGAGATTTATAGGTGGTTGAATTGTATTATAAGCTTATATAATATTCATTTTAGTATAACCTTGTACGATTGTGAATTAAGCAGCACTAAAAATTTGTATATTAAGTTTTATGCTTGCTTATTTTCTTAGAGTGATCTAATTAAAAGTAATTGAGTTGAAAGTTGCTTGAAATTGATTTGGGTCAAATTAATTAGTAATTAATTAATTGACAATAAGTAATATCTCATCAGCAATAATTTGATTAAATGTTACACTTTTTATTTATATTTATTATATCAAGTCTTAAATATTTATCAAGTTTAGTGATATACTTTGATTAATTTTATCTCCAAATAATATTGTTTGTATGGAAGCCTTATTTACTCCAAAAACTTATATGATTGTTATAAGTTATGGTTCATTAATATTCCCATTACTTAATAATAATGAATTTGTCTATCTAACTTAAAAATAGTATATGTTGTAATTTTAGCTGTATTTGTTTTAAGATATGTTAAAATTACTGATTATAACATCAGTTTTAAATTTACCACTTTAACTAAATAATAACTATTCAAAAGAATTAAAAGTATTATTAAACAATAAAATTTAGTCTAGGCTGATAATTATTTAATCTTAGAAATCAAGTACTGGAGAAAATTAAATAAATTAAGCTTTTTCAAAATAATTTGATTAAATTATTATATTTTATGCTTTTATTGTGTTTACTTAGAACAGCTACATTTTCACTTTTTAATATTAATTTTGCTAGCAATTTGAATTAGTAAAAGTAAAGTTTATAAGAGAAAAATACATAAATCTCTCTCCCTATAGTATTTAAGAATAGCTCAAAAACGTAGAATTTTAGAACAGCATGTTTGTAACATTTGATATACTTGTAATTTCTTAGCCTTAATAATAGCTAGCAAATACATATGATTGATATTTGAGTGATCCATGCATAAATTTAAAATCTTAAATTTCTAAATCGCTAGGGCTACTGACTGAAACAAACTTAGATTTTTGAGAAAAATCTGAATATAAAATAGACAAGTTTATCAATTAATAAGTTATAAATGTAGGGTAAAAGTCTGAATGAACGTTTATGAGAGTCTATTAATAAAAGCTGCAGTTATTAAATAAAGTGTTATTCATGATAAACGTCCCATTAAAATTATCAAAATAAGTTTAAAGTTAGTTTGAATATTAGCGTTAACACAAGAATGTTGTGTTCTAAAATTCTATATTATTTATATGTTCTTCATATATTTTGAAACCGAAATTATTGTTTAAATTTTTTGGTTTGACATTCATATTTTAAATCTTAAAAGAGCTAAAACCTTTAAAAGTAGCTATGTCATTTTATAACATTACATAATCTGTTAAACTGTTTGTTTAGTTTGCATTCAAAGTGATAGAAAGAGTCTAAATTGAAGGAATCTTATTTTTAATATTAGTGTTGATATTTAAAGCAAAATCCTAATTGCAAACTCTTGATGTATCAATGAAATTGATGGTAAAATCAATTTCTCTTAATTGAAGTTCATTGTAATAAACTAATGATATATCGAATTCAGGTTCATTTATTATAAGTTTATCAATATTTATTTCTTTTATTCTATATAAATTAAGTGGTTCATCAAGTGTGCCTTTACCTAAAGGTTGGCTGGCTGTCCCACATTCAACAAAGATCTCAGTTTTTTTCTTAAAAAAGCACCCATTATCATTTTTTAAACAATAAATGCATCTCTTTCTTGCTTTGTCATATCTGATTTCATATTTTTACATATCTCCATAATTACTTGGTAATTATTTTTTACATGAATAACATTTTACTTAATACAAACTTAAAGGATCCAAAACCAAATCTAAATTATTATCTTCACAAGTTTCACATCTATTAATAAATATAAATTATTTAACAATCTAAATTAAAAAAACAAAAATTTATTAATCTCTCTCCAAAAATTACTAAAAAAATTTTATTGCAATTAAAATTTTATTTTTAAATTATTTCAAATTAAAAAATATTTAGTTTATAAAAATAATCTATAAAAATATTTTTATAACAAAGTTAGTTAACTTAAATGATTATATTAGATTTATCTACAAAAAATAATAAAATCTGAAATATTATTTTCAAGGAAATTAAATAAATTAAAAAATTACAGAAGTGGACAAATTTAGCAGTTTTTTTACAAGGAGTCAAATGTGACCATTTATTAGAAATTGCTTAGAAAGTTGGTTCCGTAATGAAGTTTAGATATATAACCTTAAATAGGAGCTATGAGATTGAAAAGTTTTGTGTAATTGCAGGATATACATAAAGGACTATCTTTATAATTAATACAATTTTGGCAATATTTACCACATTAAGGTTTTTAACAATGTTATTGCGTATAATCAAGAAAATAACCAAATTTACAATCTGAGCACTTCATTTTTATCATAAAAACATTTTAATAATTCAGCCTTTAATATAAAGTAAAATTGTTTGTGGTTTAAGGTGTATTGATTATGTATGTAGTAAAATTAACTCTTTAAAAGTTAATATATCCTTCTTCATAGCAGGTTTAACAAGTTTCAGGACAAGGTATACATCCAAGAATACTTGGAATATATCCTTAAGAACAAACTTTGCATTAATATGTATTGGCAGAGACAAAGCACTCAAGACATTTATATATCTTTATTTTTAGCATTAATAAGATTCACTTAAAATAATTAAATATTTACTTATTTTTTGCATTCAGTATTGAAATCACAGGACAGATTACCTCCATAATAAACAGTTGGAGATCCATTTATACAAGTATTTAATGTAGTTTTGTAATAATAAGAATAATCATAATTATATTAACAATTATAAACATAATCTAAAATTTTTTGAATAATAAAAAAATAATAATTAATAAAGATAATCAAAACTAAAATTTTTAAATATTTTAGTTTTTTAATAGAGAAAAAAATCTAAATTATAATAAATTAATATCATGGGTATTTGGATGGTATGATAATAACTAGATATATTTGATTTTCAAAAATTTTATAAACATGTATAAAAAGGTTTTTAGTATTTAATCAACAATTTAAAATTAATACCCTGCTCATTTTTAGTTGCTAAAAACTTAATAATCAAAATTGCTTTCTTATAACTAAGGTTAGTAATTATAAAAAGAAAAAATAATAACTTAACTAAATTAGTATTTATATGATTTAGAAGTTTTTAAAGTTTTTATATTACTTCAGAACTTTGCAATTAAAAAAGGTTTATTTTAATTAAATAAAAACCAATATTATCTACCAATATTATGTTATTTTTATAATGAATGATAATTACAATTTTGTAAAATAATATTATGAATTACTTCCAGGAGGATAATAGTTAAAATTTATGCATGATTAACGATATAAGTATAAGCATGTATTGTATTTGCATGTTAAGCAATTAAGTGTTTAATAGGTTGAAGATAGATCAAGGAAGGTCCTTAAAGATAAACCAGTTTTATAATCATTTTAATCTTAATCTAAGCAATAACCTAATTAGTAGATCTAATAGCAATCTTTTCCTAAAAATGTAAATGAATTAATATATTATTCAAGATATGATTAAAAATTACTATTTGAAGACAATGTATAACCTGGTTTGCATTTTACACATTTTAAAAATTAGTATACTTAGTTTCTAAAATTTTATTTTCTATAATTTACTAAGTCTCCTTAAAATTCTTATATTTTTTTTAAAGTTTCTTAAAATTTGTTTGTTGAAAAAATTATAAATATACCATAAGCACACTCAAGACAGTATAAACCACATTAATCGCACTAATTAAAACTCGGACTAACAGTGTACTAGGTATTGCATTAGATGCACGTAAATATAGATTTAGAAAAATCATAAATTCCTTAATCTAAATCATCTTTCGGTATATCATCTTTTAGGATAGGTTACAAGTTTTAATTGAATATGGCACTTCCACATTTTTAGCAGTTTAAAGGGCACTTTTAGCATATACCATTTTAGTCAGAGTAATAATAATCAATGCATCTATAACAGTATGGCTTTTTACTTGGATTTGATTCACACCTTATACATAGATTGGAACCTAAGATAAAAGTTTAATTATTTATAATCTTGCACATATTAATTCAATCTTAAATATATTTTATTTACATGCAAAAGGAGAAACTTGCCTTTTTTATATCACGAGGTTAGCAAGTTGTCTATTAGCTTAATTTGAATCTAAGTTTTGAGAATTTCCACTTTGAATGCTGTAATACAAAAATTTAGAGTAGTTATTTGTAAATCTATTTATTCCTGCAATCTATACTACCATCTTAGCACAATTCTTATTTTTCCAAGTGTTTAAATTCCTAAATATAATTATTACTTTAATTAATATATCTTAAAATTTAAAGTTAAATAAATAAATACCAGTCTTCATCTTGAATGTTACATTCTACACATTTATAAAATTAAGTGCCATATTAACTTAAAATTGGATCTTAACTTATGTTGCTGTATATATTTGTATCGCACTTAATACAAAATTAATTTTAAGTCTATTTATCTTAATATAAGAAATAATCCTCTTTACATTGAGTGCACATATTTAGATTATCACATTTCTAGCATCTTTTTAAAATAACATAAAAAATGTGGATTATTAAAACATTGTAAAAAATTTAAAATAAAATTTAAAAAGATTTTTTTTAATTTAAATTTATATTCTGAAATACATATTTTTTTGTTGAAATAACTTTTTTTTATTTTTTTTTAAGAGTGGAAAAAACACTGCAGTAAATAAAATTAATTTAATTCACCAATAATTAATTAATAAATGAAATTAATTACCCTTCAGGACATTTTTAGTTTGAAATTGAACAATCATTTTTTGGGTAACAATCTTCAGATACATATTAAATATCTAAATTAAAGTAAGGGTAATTTTTATTATTTGATTTTTAATAGCAAATTCCATCTCCTGGATTATAATAATATTTTGGACAGAATAGACAATTTTTTGTTTTTTGTGCTTCAGCTATAAGTAAACAAACATAGTTTTTATCAATGCATAGATTTTCTTAATATTTATTAACCGAGTTGATATCTTACAATATGCATTCTTCGTCATATCTAAACTAGTAAAGACAGTTGGTTTAAGAATATTATAAGTTTTACATATACTTATAATAAGTACATCTCTAAGTTCTTTTATTTAAGCAATAATATTTAGGACAAACTACGCAATATGGATAAATTAACCACTAAAAATTAGAGCAAAATCCTAAATAATTAAATAAATTCTTTGTTAAGAAAAATAAAAATTTAAAATAATACCATTATTATCTTAGCAGTATACTACTCCTAAATTAATGCACTTTTAAGTGTACTTGTCTAAACATTGTGTGTAAGAACAGCTTGAACATTTCTGTATAGGATCTTTAGAAAATATACAAGCCCCGTTTTCATCAGAACAAACAATATCATTGCTCAATACTTTGGAACAAAATTAAATTCCTTAACCATCTTTTCTCATACAGTATTATCCTTTGTAACAATATTCCTTTTTTACAAATGTAAATATAGAAATGAATAAATAATATTTAGAAGAATATTTTACAATCTTAAAATTGTTAACAGCGTTATCATTGTCATCTTCTTTAACACATTTTTAGGATTATTTGTATCTGCCTAAGATAATTATTTCATTCATTATTAATAAATAAATATTTGAAAGTTTTTTTACCAACTTAAGAACTAATTTTATAATCTATTAGAGCACAATATTAATCTTGAGGTTCATCTGAAATACCTGTCAAACAAAAGCTAAATTATTTAAATTAAATTAAATTTTAAATTTATAAAATCAAAATTAAAACCTTTTAAAACATTATATAGCACCAAAGACTCCTTTTTCTCTTTCCTAGAGGCATTTACTTGTTTTATCTTCTCTCCCAGGATTCTAAATTGACAAAGGTAGACAAACTTAATTTAGCAAACAATAGCCTTCAGCACAATATAAAGATTAATCTGTATATGCTGGTTAGCATTATTAGTTAACATCTCTAGCAATCGGTAGATTAATACTTAAAGGTTGACATTCTCCTTTATCATTGATGCATTAAAAACCATCAACGCAACTGATTGTGGAGGCTATTATTTTTTATACCAAAATATTATTTACTTTCTATCATTCTTTCATACTTTAATTTTAGTTAAATCAAACAAGCGAATACTTACGTAAAAATAGATCTTAACATTTCCCAAATTTATTTTTTGCAGGAACTCTATTTCCTGGATATGAAGTGCTTTCTAATTATAAAGAATGGCATAGATAGCTTTTCTATTTAGATCTTATTTTTAAAAATTAGATAAAAAATAGATAAAGTATATTTTTGTTTGTTTTTAGTATGTAAGTATTGCTAAAATTACAATGCTGGTATTTAGAATATGCAATAATTTGGATCTCCACATTCATCAATACCTTTTGATTTAGTTAATAATAATTATTAAATATTCATAATTTTCATAAATTTTTATCTTAATTTAATTATTCTATTTTTAGTGGCACAATTAATTTCAATAAATAACTTGGAAGTGAAGAAACCAAAGTGAATTTTTATTTATTTGTAAATTTTTACCAATTTTACTAATTTCGAACTAAGCCAGACATCTTTGAGATAAACTTTCTAATCCTACATATTACGTATCTCCCAGGTAAGCACCTAGCTGAAAGCAATATCTTTAATTACTTTTAACTTAAATAATGCAGAAACCGGTTGGGCAACTCTTTATTTTTTATCCCTTTTCCTGAATACTTTAATAAGGGAGACAAGAGGTAGTTATTATTTCTTTGGCGAAATTAGGTAGGGATGTATCTTAAGACATATCAACACAGACACCATTCATTAAACATTATTTAGCCTTGCGACATTTTTTTCTATATTTTATGATTATAAATTATAAAATTAAATTATCATAAAATTTATATTTACGAAGGAAAGCTTGGCTAGCAATAGCCATTGTCGTCTTAAGTAGAAGTTATTCCAGTATATGTCATTTTAGTGCATTAGACATAAAGCACGTCTACGCATTCTTACACTTTTTAACCACTACTACCACCGCCGCTACCACCACCACCATCTCCATCTTTTAAAATTCTCAAAGTTTTATCATGGCATTATTATTCTACAGTTTACAAGATACACGAACCATCAGAGCATGTTAATTTTTAATTTTAACTATCTAAATTTAACATATTTAATAAAATAAAACTAGTTTTTTTAATTAAAAAAAAAAAACCTAAAGACTATTTAGGAATACGTACATCTTAAGAAACGCAAATTCCTATTTGATTATTTTCTTTATAAATAGCACCCTAAATTTTATAAAAATATCTAATTAAATAGATTAATTGCAAAAAGAAAAAATTACAAATGTTTTTGGGTTATCTATTGTCATCAATTCACAAGATTTCTGACCATTATCCTCTAAAATGCATGTAGATTTGTCTTCTGTAGAATAAAAACACTCTATAAAATCAGTTTCTGAGTTAGTTGAGCAGGAATTATCATGTTTTTTAGAAATATTTTATAAATCATCCATTTCAACGCAAGAATATTTTGAAATACAAAATCTAATTAATTGTAATTAAATAGTAAGTAATTAAATCTTTAAGAAAAAATTTTTAATAACTTACCCAAAAATACACATTTCAATTAAATTATCATCATCAGAAAATAATTCATTTTCTTAAGCACACAAATATTATTAAGTTCTTCCGACGATGTTCTTATTTATATCTCCAACCTCTAAGATATGAGATGACTCAAAAAGGCAATAATTACTTTTCAAAAAAACTAAATCTAAATAATTTTAAGTAATTTAATAAATTGACATAATTAAACTAGTAATTAAATACTTTTATTGATAATTAAGTCTTAGTATTTGTCTTTGAAGATACATTGATTAGTTTTATTAATAAATGCTACACCAATTACTTCATCTATAGAATCATAAGTCGTGCATTTGTTTATTTATGTATTTGAATTTTTTAGTAAACAAATACTTTTGTCGCTAAAGCAAGACTAAATTTACCCTTCTTAATTAAGTTATGCACAATTTTAATTAATATCTCTTGCTGCATTTTAATTAGAATCCATAGGTATACAAATGTCATTAGATAGACAATATCTAATATTTATTGTATTTTAAATTCAAATATAAATAAAATAAATAATACTAATATTTGCAGCTACATTTCATACTGTTTGGTTTTTAATAAAACTCATCTAACGAAAAGTCATCTTTCAGGCAATACTCAAATTTTAGATTGACTAGAACTAATAAATTTCATTTATTCAAAAGATATTAATTAGTTGATAATACTTTAATTTATATTTACTTAGAGGAGAGTCTATTTTCAATTGATCAGCAATATCTTGTTTTTCTATGCAAATCAAATTCATTTAAGCATCTTTATATATTCCAATATATTCATCTTAAATGTCTTCAGTTATAGTTACGCACATTGTATTTTATTTATTTTTGCAGACACAACTTTTTCCCTTTTTTTCTATATCAAAACATTTATTCACTTTTTTAACTATGTCTCTATCAAATAAGCACTTTTAGCTATCAGAATCTATTCCCACAATATCAGAAGACAGCTATACGCACATATTGATAAATACTGAATAGCATTAATTTTCACCACATAATTAGGCTTTTGTTTAAATTATGTAGTGAAAAAAAATGGTTTATATTACATTAAAAATCCTCATCTTCTTTATATTAGTGATAATTCTTTAATATACTTTTTCTTTGATTATTTAATTAACTAACTAATTCTCATTTAATATAAAATCTACCAATAATTAATCAAACAAGTTTAACATTTTTGTTATTGATAATTCTTTTCTTATTCTAAAGTAAATCAACAATTTTGTTTATTATTTCCATATATAATAAGTATGAAGCATATTCGAGGTGGACATATATTTTTTATGAATAATTTTTGATGATTTTAAATCAAAATTTTTAGTTAAAAAAAGATACTTTCTACACTCTATATCTGAAGTTAATATTTATAATATATATCATATAATTTTAATTAGAACATATGTTAGCTATGAAATATTTTGATATGTTTGTTAGCTTACAAAATAATACATATTAAACAAACAAATAAATTTTTTATTGAAACATATATTTACGCTATTTATGATAATATCTTTTTAATTTAGTTATAGTCAGCAAATAGAATCACTAATGAAGGGTTTGGATTAAAATATTAGTCTTTTTAATTAAAAAACCTAAATATATTCCATTGGCAAAAATGGTTTTCTAATTTTATTGGTTAAATATTCTAACTTTTAAAATTTGCTATTTTAGACAGATTTACGCTGGATGAAGAAATTTAAAATGATTTTTCTTGTTTTTGATTTATAAGTATTTATAAGAAATCATAACATTATATATATTAGTTTATTAAGGAATTGCTTGTTTACATTAAGCTTAATTTTAGAAAATAACATTTCTATGGATATAATTTATTCTTTCAATCAATTCAGTTTTTACCTTTCAAAAAAAATTAATTTTTTACACTCATTTGTATTTTATCATTTTCAAAAGCTTAATAATCTTAATTTGACTTTTTCTATTTTCAAAAAAAATTAATTTTTTACACTCATTTGCATTTTATCATTTTCGAAAGCTTAATAATCTTAATTTGACTTTTTCTATTTATTTATTGATTGATAGATATTTTGTCTTACCAAAGAAGCAAAACAACTTTTTCCTCTAATTATTTCAAAACCCATAATTAGAATATTTCTATCAAATATCTGTAATCTTAAATAAACTAGATATTATTTATTATCAAACAATAAATAAAATATATTTTTAATTATTTAAATTTTATTTATTTTATTTCTTTAATATATAGAGTGTTTAGAAAATATTTTTACAAATTATAATTTGAGAAATTATAGCAATTCCATATATTTTCCAGAATATTTAATCAAAAAAATTCTTGATTGATGATTGAATGAAAATATACATTTTATGTTTAATTAAATTTTTCTTTTTAATAATAGGAGATGCTCTTAAATTTTATATGTATTATGAGTATAGTATTTGTAATTTTTATTAATTTTATAAATCCTCGCATTAATTTAAATTTAATAAAGAATAATAAATTATAATTATTGTTATTAATAATTAATTCTATTATAAATTTATAGCCAAATTTATTTTTCCTAATTAAAAAATTAACTACTCACTTGATTAATCAGTCAGTCATTACTAGTGATCAAATTTTTTAAAATAACAAATTTCTGTATAAGTAAGATATTTTTTAATTCATTCTAACTTTTATGGGATTAGAAAATTTTATTTTAGTTTAAGTAAAATGGTGTAGATTGTGATACATAATTAAGTTGGAACAAGTGGATATTGACAATTAAAGCACTCACTTTTATATTATAATCATTATTTTCAATTAGAAATGTAACATCTCTATTTATTATTATGTGTCAACATAATTTTGGTATATCCTTTATTTTATAATTATTATGAATTTTAAATAGCTAATTAAAATAAATTTTATAATTTTAGTCATTATAAATGCTCAAATGATAGTTATCTTTTTTTTGAAATTCGATGCAGGTCAATCTAACATCAAAAAAATTTTCAAAAAATTATCTTTGATATTCATTTTTCCTTTTAACAGTATCTACTGCTAATTTCAACTATTCAATACTATTACATAGTAATAAATTAATTAATGTATTAACAGCTATAAAACAGAATTAAAATTTATTTTTTGAAAAATTAAAAAATTAAAAATCTATTTTAAATAAATTAATAGTATTTTTTTAAAGAATAATCTTTTTAATAAATTTGATAAATACAAGAATACAAATTTATAAATATAAAATAAAATATTTATTTTGTTTTAATTCTAAAAAGTAAAAAAAGTAGAATTACTTGTTTGATTAATTCACTTTTAAAAGTTTGTAAGAAGGGTATTTTATTTTGAAATATATTTTGAGATGTTTCTAATAAATAATTTTTCATTATTGTTATCAATCAATATCTATCTACTGGATATTCTTAACCTTAAAAATTTCCACAAAAGTATGGGAGATTACTTTTTTTTAGCATTAATATTATTCTTCCTAATTTTACTTACAATTTTTTTAATTTTTAATTTAACATCATCTATAATTGCCCAATAGATTAATCCGATAGCACATGATATATTCAAAGTTGAAAATGAAATAAAAATTCTATCTTGATTCTAAAATTAGTTCAAATTTTCAATCATTCCAAAATTAATAGTTATTAAAATAGAAATAAAAATGTCTAAGTAATTAAACTAGAGTCTAGTGTAAGGTTTAACTATTATATAATTTAAGAATAAAATTTTATATTTAAATTAAAATTATTTTACAGTATAATTGTGTTAGAGTGTATGACAAATACAATGAGCATAATACTGAGCCTTTTAAATATACATCGAAAAAGAAGTAATTATCTATTGCTATAATCAGTAGTCTTATCAATATTTAGTAAAAATACCACCAAAAATGCTTATAGAATTAGTTAAATATGCTTGAAATTTTCCTGGAATTCGTTTTATTTTGATTTTCTCTAATAATGTAGAGAAAAACTAAAAAAATAAAGAGCAGTTAAATACAAAGACAAGGTATTAGCATTTTTTTAACAAAAGATAAATGGACTTCATCACATTTAATGCTAGGATGTTAGTTTATATAAAATTAGTCATCTACTTTCACACAAAATATCTTTTTTAAAATTAATTTTAATTAAAAAATAAAATTAATTAATTAATTACCATTCCTAAAGTTGAATCTATTGTATGAGTAAATAAATGAATGATGAAATATATTAGTACTGAGGTATGAACTAAAAGGTCCTTGTTTTTTAAAATTCTAAAGCAAATCAATGTAAACAAGCAAATTAAAAAGTTAAATATCAACAGAATGACTATTCTAAAATATAGGTAAATATACTAATTATCTTAAAACCAAATAATCTATGATAAAACACAGTCAAGTAGTTTTAGGAAGATTTCAGATGGATTTCCAAAACCTAGAAAAATCTGCTTTAAATATATTGGCAAGTAATTCATATTTTTTGCACACAATGATAGTTGAGTAAAATAATTAAGTAAAATGCTAGAAATTACAAAAAATCTTTAATCATATTTAAAATATATTTTCAAAACTTGAAATACTTTTTATATCTTTAAATAATCCATTAGCATAAAAATAGACTTTGCAATTTTAGCTAGCAAAGCTATACTAAGCAGAAGTACTATGATATCAATGATTAAGCTAGCATTGAATTATCCACATCTAGTTGTTTATATATATTTATTAACAAATTAATTTTTAGAAACTTTAATTATTTTACTTTAAACAAGTGTAAGTAGCAACTTGATAATACCTTTCATTCCAATATTTTCCATATAAATCACAATCCATGCACAACGCTCCAATATTTCCTTTATTGTTAAAAGTTAATTTTTAGAATTTAATTTATAGTTAAAACTAATACCTTCTTTACAATAACGATTTTCGTCCTAAAACTTTTCTGTTATTTCTACTCTATCAATATCTCCTACACACTAAAAATATCCATAACGCTCGATGTAATTATAGCTATTATTCTTTGATCTCCACAATCCCCTAGGTAAATAAATGCTTGTCTTTTAACATAAAAAATCATCTGGACATTTATAACATTTATCACCATCATTTAAATTATACATAAATTAAGGACAGGGATTACATAGATCCTTTTTTATAATATCATTAAAATAAGTTGTACCTACAGGGCATTTTTTAGCCATATTTATTTCTATCTCAAAAGAGATATTAGTTTCAATTTTAGTTAATTCGCCATCTAATTTGTAAATAGGAGACTTTGCATACTCAGAAGATATTTATAATATTATTTGTTTTCCAAGCCTTCCAAAAACATTTATTTTATCTTTTATTTCAAATACACCACTCTTTTATGATATTTAATACTAATCAATATAGTAATCTTTTCCTTCCAAAACTTAAACATTTAATTTAATTTCTTCATTCAGAGTTGTTATAGGCTAATCTTCATTATTAACTAATTACAGAACTATGTCATCCTATTTATCAATTAAGAGAATTAAATTTTATCTAAGTAAAAAATAAATATTTTTTCAAAATTGATAAGAAAATATTAAATAATTAATTACTAATTTATACATTAGTTTATAATATGCTTTTTATCTCATCAAAATATTGTTTTCATTATTTTATAATGAGGATATTATAAAAAATTTAAATGTGTTTTTTTACCTTAAATTTTCCACTCAAATGCTTATCTATTGACAAAGAGTTTCTGTAAGTTTATTTGCCCTTGATTCCTAAAAATTGAACAGCAAATTAGATTAGGTTATTATTGTATAGTTATGCTTCGTTTTAAGAGAGTTTATTATCAAAATGCTAGTGTAATGGCAGATTCTACATCTGATAAAAGCTGCTTCCAATTCTGGCTTTATTTCTTTAAAAGGTATTTTTTATTAAGTGGATTTTTTAGAATTGATCAAATTTATCATTAAGGTCAGATACTATTGCCCCTCCAAATTAATTTGCATTATTTTCTTAGAATTTGCTTTTTATTATGTATAAAAAAGTATTTGATGCTATGATTGATCCTCCGTTATTCAATGAAGTATTATTGATAAATGTAGAATTATAAATTGTTTAATTTTAATTTGATTTTCTAATTAAATATTCTTCTTAATAAGAATTAAAATGTAAAAATCTAAGTTTATTTATCATTATTTCATCTTTTATATATTTTGAAATTGAAAGAGCTCCTCCATTTAGAGCAGTATTCAATTTAAAAGTACTATCAGCTATTAAAGTGTGATTAGAAATTACCTGCAAATTTCCTTAAGCACATTTACTGCATGTATTATTTATGTAAATAATTTACTCCAGTTTAATCGAATTTGCTTAAATTATTATCAATGAGTTTGATATAAATTGATTTGGATTATAAATAAATTATTAATTATCAAAAAATTAATCTTATGACAAACTTAAGTTTTCTATATTAGTCAATTTAAGTAAGTAATTTTATACTTTAAAATTACTTATTTTATTTTAAGCAAGTTGAAGATAATTTATCGAATCAAAGATAATTAAACTTTAAAAGATAAATGAATTTTCGTTTTCTTTAGAATTTAGCTATATACTTGATGCTTCAACTATAAATGTGTTTTAGATTAAGTAAACCTGATTAAAACCTTACAAACGATAGAGACTTGGAGAAATGCTTAACGGTTTTACAAATTATTTAATTTTCTATATAAAATCTTAGATATACTTATGCGAATATAAATTATAAGTTTACTATATTTACACTATATTTGTAAGGTTTTTCTAAGAGGAATATAAGTTACTTCCATCTGATGAAAAGTTATTTGAAAAGTTTGATAAGAGCAAATTCAAATAAAATTTATTATAACTTGAAGACACATACAAAGCTCCTCCTTTGCTAAAAGCAAAATTATTTGAAAAGATACACTAAATAAATCTAAAGGTTGCACCTAAATTTTATTGTATTTAATTAATGTAAATAGCTCCTCCATTAGAGTTTTTAAGATCACTTAAAGAAAAACTCCAATTTTCTGTGAAGTTTGTTTAATAAATATAAATATTAGCTAGAGAAATAGCTTTTATGTATAGACCACCTCCTTAAAGCGAGAGTCCACCACTAAAACTACTGCTTAATATTTTTAAAGCTGAACATTGTATCATTGCTATACCTCCTAGAATACTATTACTACCACTCAAAAACTGTAATTTTTGTTGATTATTTGCAAGTATTGTAAAATTTGAATTCTGTATCTAAATTTAGCTTCCTTAGATATAAAGAAGATTATGGTTAGGATGATTCTAGGCATTCATTATTCTTGAATTTATTATTTCTAATTTCCCAATTACATTTTTCAAGTTAATTACAGTAGAAAAAAAGTTATCAATCTTTTTTAATATTAAAAAGTTTAAAATATATTTATTGGTTTTAAATTAAAATTTTACTTAAAAATTTATAGGTGGTTGAATTGTATTATAAGCTTATATAAAGTTCATTTTAGTATATCCTTGCATGATTGTGATTTAAGCAGCACTAAAAATTTGTATATTAAGCTTAATGCTTGCTTATTTTCTTAGCATGATCTAATTAAATATAATTGAGTTGAAAGTTGCCTAAAATTGATTTGGGTCAAATTAATTAGTAATTAATTAATTGACAATAATTAATATCTCATCAGCAATAATTTAATTAAACGTTACACTTTTCATTTATAGTTATTATATCAGGTCTTAAATATTTATCAAATTAAGTGATGTGCTTTGATTAATTTTATCTCCAAATAATATTGTTTGTATGGAAGCCTTATTCACTCCAAAAGCTTATATGATTGTTATAAGCTATGGTTCATTAATATTCCCATTACTTAATAATAATGAATTTGTCTATCTAACTTAAAAATAGTATATGTTGTAATTTTAGCTGTATTTGTTTTAAGATATGTTAAAATTGCTGATTATAACATCAGTTTTAAATTTACCACTTTAACTAAACAATAACTATTCAAATGAATTAAAAGTATTATTAAACACTAAAATTTAGTCTAGGCTAATAATTATTTAATCTTAGAAATCAAGTATGGGAGAAAATTAAATAAATTATGCTTTTTCAAAATAATTTGATTAAATTATTATATTTTATGCTTTTATTGTGTTTACTTAGAACAACTGCATCTTCACTTTTTAATATTAATTTTGTTAGCAATTTGAACTAGTAAAAGTAAAGTTTAAGAGAGAAAAATACATAAATCTCTCTCCCTATAGTATTTAAGAATAGCTCAAAAACGTAGAATTTTAGAACAGCATGTTTGTAACATTTGATATACTTGTAATTTCTTAGCCTTAATAATAGCTTGCAAATACATATGATTGATATTTGAGTGATCCATGCATAAATTTAAAATCTTAAATTTCTAAATCGCTAGGGCTACTGACTGAAACAAACTTAGATTTTTGAGAAAAATCTGAATATAAAATAGACAAGTTTATCAATTAATAAGTTATAAATGTAGGATAAAAGTCTGAATGAACGTTTATGAGAGTCTATTAATAAAAGCTGCAGTTATTAAATAAAGTGTTATTCATGATAAACGTCCCATTAAAATTATCAAAATAAGTTTAAAGTTAGTTTGAATATTAGCGTTAACACAAGAATGTTGTGTTCTAAAATTCTATATTATTTATATGTTCTTCATATATTTTGAAACCGAAATTATTGTTTAAATTTTTTGGTTTGACATTCATATTTTAAATCTTAAAAGAGCTAAAACCTTTAAAAGTAGCTATGTCATTTTATAGCATTACATAATCTGTTAAACTGTTTGTTTAGTTTGCATTCAAAGTGATAGAAAGAGTCTAAATTGAAGGAATCTTATTTTTAATATTAGTGTTGATATTTAAATCAAAATCCTAATTGCAAACTCTTGATTTATCAATGAAATTTATGGTAAAATCAATTTCTCTTAATTGAAGTTCATTGTAGTAAACTAATGATATATCGAATTCAGGATCATTTATTATAAGTTTATCAAGATTTATTTCTTTTATTCTATATAAATTAAGTGGTTCTTCAAGCGTGCCTTTACCTAAAGGTTGGCTGGCTGTCCCACATTCAACAAAGATCTCAGTTTTTTTCTTAAAAAAGCACCCATTATCATTTTTTAAGCAATAAATGCATCTCTTTCTTGCTTTGTCATATCTGATTTCATATTTTTACATATCTCCGTAATTACTTGGTAATTATTGTTTACATGAATAACATTTTACTTAATACAAACTTAAAGGATCCAAAACCAAATCTAAATTATTATCTTCACAAGTTTCACATCTATTAATAAATATAAATTATTTAAAAATCTAAATTAAAAAAAGAAAAATTTATTAATCTCTCTCCAATAATTACTAAAAAAATTTTATTTTTAAATGATTTCAAATTAAAAAATATTTAGTTTATAAAAATAATTTAAAAAAATATTTTTATAACAAA